TGTCATTACTTGGGCAGCCAATGGGCTGGAAAAGTCCAGAGATAGAGGTAAATTTGGGCAGCTGCATGGAGGAGGTGACACCATAACCTTGAAAGATGGGCTGCAGGCTGTATTAAACTCTGAACCTAGGTGTTGGCTAAGGAACACAACAGTAGAAAAGTTGCCAGCCATGGATGAGAACAGAGGTTCTTAAACCTTGCCTAGCAGAAGCATTGTCTAGGCTGAATTCGCTAACATTGGTTGCAACATCCATCCTGAACGGATTCCTGCTGTACACAATGTGTAGCTTGATTACTTTGCTAACCAGTATATCTACTCTCGGTGCTAGGTTCAACCCAGGGCCTCAGGCATGCCAAGTACTTGTTCTACCAGTGAGCCACATTGTAGCCCCTCACTCCCTCTCCTGACCTTATATTCCATTCCCAGAGGTGCCATTTATTTTTTGTGTATGGATTTTTGCCTGAATTTATGTCTGTATACCCAATTACCTGTAGAGGCCAGCAAAGGGTGTCAGATCCCCTGGAACTGGAGCCACAGATTGCTATCCACTACCACATGGGTGCTGGGAATTGAACCAGAGTCCTCTGGAAAAGCGGCCAATGCTCTTAACTACTGAGCTGTCTCTCCAGCCTTTAGCGTTTTTGTTTTTTGTTTTGTTATTTCATTTTTCTATTTTGAGACAGCTAAGCTTTGGGTGGGAACAGCCCATTTCTAGTTTGCTAACACATGCCATGCTAGCTGGCACAAATTCTAGCCCTCTCTAGGCCTGGCTTTCCTATCCACACAATGACGGGCTGGCCCATTACCTCTGAGGTCATACCATGTAGATCTATGATTGTGTGGTTTATTTCTCTCTGGCTCTGCCCTGGCTTGCTGCATGGTCTGCCCTCTCATTTCCTCCTTTCTATCTCTGCACACTGACAGGGCTGGCATCCCTTTTCTGCTACAGCAGGGAGAAGGCATATGCTGAAGCCAACATTCCTGTTGCCTGTTAATATCTGAGTCTGAAATGTCCCTCACAGACTCAGACCCCAGTTGGTGGGGTCATTTGGGTGTTTTGTTTTGTTTAAGACAGGGTCTCACTATGTAGACTTCCTGGAACTCCACAAAGAGCAGCTTCCTGTCTCTGCCTCTCCTTTCTGAGTGCAGGGATTAAAGTTGTGTGCCATAAAAGCTGCCTAGAGTGAAAGTTTAAGAGATGGGTCATGGAAAGCAGGTCCCTAGGGATGGACCTTTGAAAATTATTTTCTAATTCTGGGTCCGGTCCCCCCCTTCCACCGGGGTACCCCTTCTGCTTCCTTATCTCTCACAGTGTAAACTGTCTTTGCTTCAGGGTTCCTACTGTTCCACTAGGCTTTTCCTGGTAGGAAGGACTGAAATCTTGAGCTACAGTAAACCTTTCCTTCCCTAGATTGTTTCTGTTTGGTGTTTTAGTCACAACAACACAAAAACAAATAACTAAAAAAAAAAAAAAAAAAAAAAAAAAAAAAATGGTGCTGTCTGCAGAATTGTCGCTGTACTAAACTAACAATGTGCTTCTTGGGCCTTTGGAACTGGCCTAACAGGAACGTGGAACAGTTTGAAGACAGTGGGCTAGAGAAGCGCTAGGATGGCATGAATGCCACCTAGCGTACAATCTAGGGAAATGCAGCAGACCAGAATGCTTCTAGAAACAGGGCCAGCCACTTACTGGAAAGTGCGCTAGAGGTCACCTTGGTATGTTCTGACAGAGAATTTGTCCACATTCTGTGTGTCCTGAAAACTGGGCTGAGGTTAGAGTAAATATATAAACTATTTAGCTTGGCAGAGGAAGGCTCAAGACAGCAGAGCTTCAAGACTAGTTCTGGCTTTAGTCAGGTTTACTGTGAGAATTGAAAGGTGAAGCACAGTGGAATTGAAAACTGCACAATTTGAGCATAAAGGAGTGCTGGTATTAAAGATGCGGACGGCTGTGCATCGTCTAAAGATTTATTTATTATTTGCCTGTTTTTTTACTTTGGTTTTGTTTTTTTGGTTGTGTCACTCACCCCCTTCAAGATAGAGTTTCTCTGTGTAACCATGGCTTCCTGGAGTTCACACTGTAGATCAAGCTGGCCTTGAACTCAGAGATCCAGCTGCCTCTTCCTCCTGAGTGCTAGGATTAAAAGTGCGTGTCACCACAACCCGGCTCCAAAGGTTTATTTTTATATTGATGTTTTGCCTGCATATGTATGTGTAGCTGTGTGTTCAGGGCCACTAAAAGTTCATGTGAGAGCCCTTAAAACCGAGGGACAGACAGTTTTGAGCTGCCACTTGAGTGCTGGGAAGCAGACCTGGGTTCCCTACAAGAGCAGCAAGGGCACTTAACTGCTGAGGGGCCTCTCTCTGAACTCCACACTTGACAGCACGCGTTAGTAGAGGCTGTGGGGTCACCTACCACTGCTAGATTAAGTGTGCACTCAGTTCTCTCCCTCCCACCCCCCAGCTCGATGCTTTTATGTTTTAGTTTGGTTTGTATTTTGAGACAGGGTCTCTCTATACAACTGGCTGTCCTAGAACTCATTATTAGACCAGGCTGACCTCAGATTCACAGAGTCAGCACACAGCTTCCTTATTAGCTGTGGTGCGAACAGCCTCCTCTTCATACTGCCAGCACCACAGCTAGCAGCCCCACAGTCAAGCAGTGCCTCTCCCACTTGCTGGGTCACAACCCCTGACACCAAGAGACAAACCCTTCTCCTGGTAGTTATTACTGGGCACTTTGGTCAGATGATGCACTGGTACACTGTACCTTTAACCTGTGGGGCTTCATCTGTCACCTGAGCTGAGGCCTGGGCCATGTACAGACACGAGCTTCTGCGTCCTCAGGGCCTGCTGGCTAGCCGCAACTCCACCTTCTTGAGCTGACACCATCAGAAGGACTGTATGTTTTATGAAGGTGAAGCTGGGCTGAGGAGTGATGTGGAGGACGAATGTGTTTGCTGCAGGAATTCACACCCCAGGCCAGAAATGAGTCCAGGTGAAGGCAGAGCTCAGGCCCTGAGGTTGGCTTTGCCCACACTGTACACCCTCTCTATTCCAGTTATAGCCAGTCCCTTGTCCCACTCATGGATGGCTTTATGCTACAGTGAAATATGGATACCATGAGCTTTCCCATATTTCAGAGTCCTGGTCAGGTGAGTTAAAGACCTCACACTACAGTACCCAGATCTCCATATGCAGCTGAGGGCATTTGTGTTCCTTTAGCCTGGAGCCTTGGGCTCCCCAAGTAAGCATCCTGCCGTAAAGCTCTATCCCTAACCTTCTTTCGGCTTTTGAGACAGAGCCACACTTACTCTGTCACTTAGGCTGGGCTTGCACTTGTGATCCTCCTACCCAGCCTCCTGAGGAGGTAGATTACAGGTCTGTCCCACTATGAGTAGCTCCTATGTAACCTCTTTATCTATTAAATTAAACGCTCTCTGGTCAGATGAGACCTCTCACTTTATGGCCTTGTCCCTGGCAATCACCATTTCCCATTTTGTTCTCCAACAATCTCACAATCCCAAGCACCTCTCTGTGTTGGAATGAAGTGTTCTTTTGAGACAGCACTGTTTCCTTCGCCTTACATCATCAAAGGGATATATTTGTAGTGTATTTTAGAAGTTAGCCTTCTTTTTAAGGCTACTTACTACAGTGTGCCCAATTCATACACACCTTGAGGCTCAAAGGGAGAAGCAGCTGCTCTTCTTTACTGCCTACTTGTCAGAGGCAGCCCGGACCTGAGTGCACAGTGCAACTCCTCATGTCTGTAAGCAGCCCCTCCCAGCAGAGACAGGCAGGTACAGGGAGGGGCCTCTCTCTGAACTCCACTATTGACAGCACGAGTTAGTAGAGGCTGTGGGGTCACCTAACACTGCCAGATGAAGTGTGCACCCAGTTTGGGGAGGGGACATCCCATTCTTGCCTGTTCAGCTTCAAAACTAAAAGCAGAAACATTTCAAAAGAACAGGGACTGAGGGTTGCAGAGATGGCTGAGTCATCAAAAGCACTGGCTGCTCTTCCAGAGGACCTGGGTTCAATTCCCAGCACCTATATGGCAGCTCACAACTGTCTGTAACTCCAGTTCCAGGGGAGCTGACAACCATACACAGACACACATGCAGACAAAACATCAGTGCACATTAAAAAGAAACAAACAAAAAAACAGGGAGGGTCACATTCTGGCACATGGAATGACAAAATTGTCACCCAGCTGGTTTCTGTCCCTCTGGCAACTACCAGACTGAACCTCAGAACAGCACATGGTACTGTATACTGTCCCCACAAGGAGGAGGAATTCCCTTCACCTGCTTCCATTGCTTCCTCTTCATCTCTACCCAGCAAGGAAGGCTCCGGCTTCCTCTCCCTCAGAACAGTTCCTCAAGATCAACAAGAAGTTCTCACAGGCAGGGCTGTCCTGCTGACTTTATTATGAGCAAGAGTATGACAGGACCACATTCAGGCATTTCCCTCTTCCTCCTCAGCTGCTGATGCTCCTCACAGCGAACAGGGCCAGGGTAGGGCCCACCCTGGGCACAGGGGCGGGCAGCAGCTGGCAGCTCCAAGATCAACTGACTTCTGTGAGGCAGATGGGCATAGAGGGAGTAGATGTGGAAGAGAATGTGTGGCTCTTCTGGGCAGACTTTTGGTTTTGTTTTTTGAGACAGGGTTTCTCTATGCAGCTCTAGCTGTACTGGAACTCAGGGATCTGCCTGCCTCTGCCTCCTGAGTGCTGGGATTCCCAGCTTGGGAGACTTTGTTTTAAGGTAGGTGTGTGTGTGTGTATACACTGACACACAAATTAAAATGTATATAGTTGCCTAGAGAGACCAAAAGAGGGTGTCAGGTGCCACCAGAGCTGGAGTTACATGGGTGTGGGGAACTGAACTCTGGGCACCACAAGAGATGTGCAAGCTCTCTACTACTGAGCCATCTTTCTAGCCCCCCCCCCCCAGGAAAGTTTCCACTCAAGCCAGAGAGAAAAGGACAACAGCCCAAAGTCTAGCATGGTAAACCACTGAGTTTATTGAGACTGTTAACAGGATCATGAGCCATCTCTTGAGCACAGGATGGTTGCTGGTTGAAAGCTGTGGAGTGTCCCCTTCAGTTAACTTTCCACATCCTGTAAGCTGCAGCACCTCTCAATCACATGCAGCTGCAACGGGACTACTTGGGGTGGGTGCAGAGAGGAGAGAGTGGCTGGACTCCCAGGTGAAGGGCTGATCACCCCCATACTTCTAACCCTGAATGTAGATTCAGTCTTGGAAGGGACTCCTGTGGGCGTTCACAGCTGATCCGGTTTCAAGAATGTCACCCCAAGTCTTGCCTAGAGGATAGTATCCCTTAACAGGATTACGCATCAATTCCACTTGTGAAGAGTAGGTCAGAGAAGTCTTTACCTTTGATATCAGGAATCTAAACAATATGAAACCAGTAACAAGCATTCGTCTCCTTGTGCATGAAGCCATTGAGCGGTGGTGGTGGAGACCTTTAATCCCAGCACTCAGGAGGCAGAAGCAGGCAGATCTCTGTGAGTTTGAGGCCAACATGGACTACAAATAGAGTTCCCGGACAGACAGGGCTACACAGAGAAACCTGTCTCGAAAAAGAAAAGAAAAATCCCCAAGATAACAATTTGTACGAAGGTCAGGCTGGGGAGTCTCATGCTGCTGCTGTGGAGAACTGAAGAGGGAGGTGGAGGCAGAGAAGGCTCAGGAAAACACAAAAGACCCAGGGCTGCTGAATGCACGTTCCAAGTCACAGCCTTACCTTCTTTCCTGCTCATGCTGAGCCTTCCTGCACATCCATCAACAGGGACAAAGGCCATTGCCAAGATTTGGGTCATGAGATCAATGTCATGGGTTTGTTTGTAGATTACGTGGTAAATCAGCCTGGGTAAGCATTCTACATGTCTTCCCTGCAGAAATGTATCCTCAAAACATCCTCCAGGGAGCTAGGTATAAATCTTAGTCTAAAAAGATGAGGAATTGGTGCTGGGTGATGGTAGCACAATCCCAGTACTCAGGAGGCTGAAGTGTAAAAGTGACTTTTATTCACTTGATTTAATTGTCCTTTCGGAGGCTTACTGCTTCCATCTGCTAACTTAGGCCTAGAGTATTTCTAGCTTCTGAGACTTAACTGCTCAATTACCTCACCCTTTCTAGCTCCTTCTGAACTCTGGATGGCTGGTTCAACTCTCTGTCTGGCCCCAAACTCCTCTCCAAACTGATTCAAACTGGCTTCTGTTGGCTTGTGACTGAATTGCTCTGCTTGGCCTCATACTAACTTTGGCAATATGTTCTAATCTTCTGGCTTCTCCTTCTCTGGTTTGTTCTGTCTTCACCTAGCTTGTTCTGTCTCCAACCTGTCTCTGTGCAACTGTCCCTGTAAAACTGCTTCCTTCCTCTTCCTCTGCGATGCTCTCTCTTAAGTCACCTCTTTCCTCTCTCTCTTCATAAAAGTTGGGCATATCCTATTCTGTCAATTCTTTCTCTGATTCATCACTTTGTCTGCCTCTCAAGTAGAGGTCACCTTCAAACATGAGTGCTTTCTTCTACAAACTAACTTTACTGTCATTGTTTGGGATTAAAAGTGTGTACCAAAGCCTTGTCTATATTCTAGCCAGAGGGGTTAAAGGTGTGTGGCATGTCAGCATTCCAGCCAGATCAAATAGACCTAGTGTAATAATATATTTAAAAATGCCACACACACACACATACACACACACACAACAGATCTGGAATGAAGAGATTTATTGTGCAGAAGTGTGGAGAGAGAGACAGACAGACAGAGACAGTGGGAGAGCAAGAGCGCAGGAGAAGAGAAAGACAGAAAAAGAGAAAGTCAGAGAGGATGGAAGGGGAGAGAAACCCAAGCAGAGAGAGCGTGTAGTGACTGGTTGTCTCTTTATATCTGGTGTGCAGCTGAAATGTGTCTCCCAGATGCATCTGTGAAGGAGTCTGGTAATTGGAATTCTGCCTCCTGGCCTTGGCAGATGTGGGTCTTATCTAAAGTTCCATTTCTTTGAGACTGTCCTTGGCAGTCTCTGCAAGTGGGGTGTTTGGGGTGTTCTGAGCCTGAGAAGTAGATAGCAAGCTCCGTGCAACCCCGGGAACCAGATAGCAAACTTTGTGTAACCTTGAGTGAATTCTTGGGTGCCTTGCCAGGTGGCACAGATGTGTTGTTACTGTGAAAAAATTTGATTGTACCCTTTGCTTTATAAGTGTTGTTTGCACGTTCAGTAAACTGAGACCTTGATCAGAAGCCTGTCTTGGTCTCCATTCTTTGCGTCTCTGTCCCCCATTTCCACTCCCTCTTTCAGGTAGACGGTGTTCGTGTTCAACTACCCAAGGGACGAGTCACATCTGCCACACAGGATGTCAGGTTGCTAGGCAACCTAGAGGCAGGTTTATGAACTAACTACCCGGTCTTCAGATGTGATCCCTTGCCACAGCAGCCATGTTTCTGGATTAAAATTCCTCTACGATGAAGCAGGTGGATCTCTGAGAGTCCAAGGTTCAGCCAGGGCTACATGGTTGGACAAGCTCAATAAATAAATGGAAATGACAACCTAAAAAAATTCTTTTTTTTGGGGGGAGGGGGAAGGTAAGTAATCTGAATTTCAGAGAAGTCCAGTGTTGGCAGCTGAGCATGTGGCAACTGTGACTCTAGCACAGGTTTGAAGAGAGACTCAAGACTTAAACTGTGCACTTCCTGGGTCTCCTTTCTAAGTGCAGACAAAGAACCCTGGCCTCCATATGTGCGCACGATCAAGCGCTTGCGAGGCTTACCACCTTAGCAGCTTCTTCTCACACTTGTACATTCAGAGCTCTGAGAAGTCCTTCAGCAGAACACAATGGAAGTCAGTGTGGGGGCACATGCCTGCAGTCCCAGCCTGAACTTCACAGGGAGACCCTGTCTGACAAAAAAAAAAAAAGGAACAAAAAACCAACAAAACCATTTTATCAGAATCTCCTGACCAGCCTGACGAGAGACTGCTTACCAATGTGTAAGCAGCAGCCCTTTCAGCAACAGGCACTGATACACTCTGAGAGGAGGAAAACAAAACCGTTTCCAAGTGAAAGCCCTCGACTGAAAGAACATAGCCAGCAGTTGTTACTCTGCTGCGCTGAGAGCATCAGCTGTCACCACAGTAAGGATGCGAAGGACCCTGAAGATGATGGTTCTGGCCTTAAACAGGCCTTACTTACCCCCAGATGACTCTGCTCTCTAGCTGCATGTTGGCTGTCCTTGCTGAGGCTGACCCTGGCCATCTATCGAGGGTCCTCTGCAATACTAGAAGACAGGAAGAGCTGCTATCAGCAGGTACATGTGAGACTTTGAGGCACCAACATCCACCCAGTGCTCATGGAGTAGTATCTGGGCCTGTACAGGGCAACAGAAACCACATGGACATGATGCCTGCCCTGCAGACTGTGGGACTCAGCTGTTAAAGTCAAAGCCTAGTGTTTCCAGAAAGCCTCTGAACTTGGCATGTGACAACAGACTCTGTTTCTCATGGGGTTCCCTCCCTGTCTCTTTTGGGGAACCCCAGCTCTCCTAAAGAGCCTCACATAGCCCTCACTCAGGGAGATAACAAGCCCTGATGAGAAACCTGGTCAGTGAGCACCTGGGGATTCCTGGAAACAACCACCCTATGTTAATGAGATGTCTTGGTGTCTTGGTTTTCAACCAATGACCTTTAACCATATCTGGAGTTCTTCCCAAACTCAGGATAATTAAGTATTGCTTCCCCCCTCTTATGATACTGTTTCATTAGATTAAGTATACCAGGAGTCCCTAGCCCCAGCAAATCAAAAACACTCAACCTGAAACTCCTCCCACTGCCCAAGGTCTATAAATGTCCCTGATTCACTAAATAAACTCTCTCTCCACTCCTCCACCATGACCACTTGAGATTCATCATTTTTTCTGGGGAAGGATGGGCTCCCTTCCTCCCTAGAAATTCACCACTGACCTCCCAGGGCTTAGCAGTCAGCTACATGCTGCTGGCCACTGGGAGCTTCTGCCATTTGCTGGGTGTCAGCATGGATCACTGCTGCCATCTTTCTAGTGCCATTCTGTCGAAACCAGGCTCCTGCCTCTGCCTCTCTCAGTTTTAGAGCTCCATCTGAGCCTCGATTACCTCCATCACCAGCTGCTCATAAAGCTGCCACTGACCCAACCAAGTCAGGCAGAGCCCTCCATGCCACCTGTCTCCAGTTCTGGAGCCCTAAGCTCCTTCTACTCCAGCCCTTCACTCTTTTCTGCCCAGAGGATGCACTTCCATTTCCCGCCCTACAGTAGTGGCAGGGAATGCAAAACGACAGTCATGTCCCTGGACAGTCCAGGCTCCTGCTGGACTGGAAACAACAGCAGACCTTGGCTGTAATGAGGAGTTCCCTCAGTAACTTTTGAAGTCTTGAAGCCAGGCCCTGTTGGGGATCCAGGGACTGACCTTAGTCCCAGATCAAAGGGCCTAGTAGAGGCTTCTGGAGGAATAAGTGCCCGTTGAGTCAGTGTCCCTGGGGCAGGAACAGTGGTGAGAGTGATCCAGGCAGGAGGCAGAAGGTGCCACCCAGAGAATGCTAGTCCTGAAGGAGGGAAGTGATGAGGGAGAAGTAACAGGTGGACCAGGCCATACATGGACTTCCACTTAAAACCAAGGACACACTCTCCACAGTGAGCAGTGCCTAGGCAGCATGGATGGCACAGGGGGTAGTCTGTTTTGCACTTCGCCAAGAGACAAGTGTGGATGCCACTGTAGACTCAGGAGGGAGAGCAAAAACAGCCTGAGTCGGGAGTGTGGCCCAGCCATAGGGAAGGCCCAAAGTACTGACAAGAGTCAGCCATGTATGGGCTGACAAATTCTGGGACCTGGATGGGTCTAAGGAGAGTCTTAGACTATGTCATAGCTGGACAGATTAGTTTGTGCCTGGAGGGCAGTGCAAGCACCCAGAAACTGACATGGGTGTCTAGCAGTAAAGTACCTAGAGCCAGCAAGGGACAGAGGCTGTCCAGGCCACTTCTGCACTGCCAGGACTGGGACACCTGCTGAAGCTCTGCAATCACTTGCTTGTGGTAGAAGAACCAGAACTGACTCCCATGCTCCTTGACTACCACTCTCCTGAAAGGGTACCTTGGGCAACCCTGACCCATCCATGGGTACCTTCTCTGGACTACAGTGGAGCTCTTTCTGTCGTAACAATGGTCACTCCTCATCTTCTGTGTCCTGACGTCTGCCTCCTCTCATACTGCAGTGCTGAGGAGGCTGGGAACACATTTCCTAGCATCAGTCCCAGTCCAAGGCAGGCCATGATGACAGCTGAGTGAGCCCAGAGATGAAGATGTGGTGAGTTAGGCTCCAGGAACCCACATGTGTAGCTCACCTGGGTCCCTCGGGGATCCTTGCCTATCAGGCTGTGTCTCACTCTCCCCACATAAAAACCTGACTTCACTTTTGATTCCTCCCTTGAAGTTCCTTCAAGCAGCAAGTCAAGCCCAGCTACCTGCCCAGACTCCCGACTCACGGGGCAATTTCCAGAAGCTCCCCTCCACACACACACACACACAGGCCACTGGAGTATAAGGAAACTGATTTCTAGCAGCAGACAAGAACCACTGGGGAAGACGGGGGTCTCAAACATTTCCTATGCCCTACAGACCCTGGGAGGTAAGAAGGTCCAGAGAGCCAACACCCCTCAACCCAAACAAGCTATAGGAGTGTGAAGACAAGGGAGTTGAGCCACCATCACCCCAGTATCTCCTCCACAACTCTACCCTCCAGTCCTTGCTTCCCCTGGACTGCACAGAAGAACTTAACCTTCACTGAATGTGTGTCCTGGTCACTTTTGCTGTCCAGAGGCTCTGACATAATTTATTCTCCCTGACACAAGTGGATCTTCTACCAGTCCTCCAATGCTGTCTGCTAGTCAGTGCTCCAGAGAGCAGAACACAGTCAGCAGGAGTTAAAGGTATCCCTGCCTGCCACTTTTCCAAGATAGAGGTCTTTAAAACTTTCAGGTCCTCCATCCCCTCCTCCACAATGTAGCTTCCAATTTCATTGTTCCCTGGCTTCCGAAGCTGTGTTCCTTCAGCCTGGCCTGTTTTTGTGGACCTCCAGCTCACCCACACCTGGACCACGCCCTCATCTCCCTATATCTGCCACTTCTGCCCAACGTATGCATGGGACAGGGACAGAACCAACTGGAGTTTCACATCAAGAATCGGTCTTTCGGGGAACCCCAGCCTGATCCCAAAGATCAGTTCTCCCGCTCCCAGGGCGGGTACAGTCCCTCAGATCAGGAAGAGGGGGGATTCAAGGGAAGAGGCCGGCGCCAGGAAGCCGGAGGAGATCTGAGGAGCACATCGGGAGCTGTCCAGAGAACGCCCAGGTGGAACCTCCGGGAAGGGGGCACGTGCGCGGAGGGGCGCGTAACTGTGGGGACCAGCGCGGCAAGTGCGGCCGGGGGCGCGGCGGAGGACGGCGCACAGGATAGGATTCAGTGAGGGGATAGCCCGCGTCCCTTTCCCTACCCGACCCACTCACCTGGGCCCACCGCTCCCGGCAGCCGGGCAGGAAGCCCTAACCTTCAATCTGGCTTCTCACAGCCAGTTGCGCCACCGGTCTTTGGCGCCTTGTTTTGTCTGTTACTGTCCCACTTCGTAGGTCTCCGCCCCGGAAGTTACGTCACCGGGCGCAACCGGGGCCCCTCGGATGTCGCCATGTTTTTGAGGAGAATGTAGAGTTATGCACTGCTTGTGACAGGGCTCTTCGCCATGTTGCTTCTGGGCGGAAGTGGCCCGTTTGGGGCTCGGCCCCTTTAAAGGAGCAGAGACGTGTACAACCTTGGCGATACATTTGGGGTCGCTGGCTTTTGGACGAAGTAGTGCAGTTGTTCGCTGAAGCAGGTCAGTAGCTGGTTACAGTGCGAGGTTTCACCGAAATCGTGTGTTGAAGCCGCCTGGTTCTCAGTAGGTTTCCGAGTGCTTAGCTCTTGAGGCATGTGCTGCTGTTTTTGTGATAGGTAGCTTCGCTGAAAGAAGGATCTGTCCCCTGAGAAAAACTTGTGCGCGCGGTTTTGGCATCTCTGCACTCAGCCATGGGACCAGTAAGGCTAGCTCTCTCTGCACTCACATCCACTCTCCCAAGGTAGTCCTGGCCAAGAAGATGAAGACTGTGCTCACGGAGAATTCCCGGCAGTGCTAGCGCGAATAGACTCTGTGGGTTCTTCTGGATTCTGTTGGTTCCCGGGCTGACAGTAGTCATGGCAATTGGGTTAAAATACTAATGTGGGACAACTTCCAGCATAACTGAGGTTGAAAAACAAAAACAAAAACGGGACAGAGAAAGTAGCCTTCACCCTGCTACCGAGTTCGCGTGCACGCCAGCTTTCTGCTAATATGCACACATTAAATGCTTGACTGGCACAAGGAACAACAGAGGTCCTGGGAACCTGACAAGGCGAGAAATGTAACTACTGTGTGCAGCGAATTGATTCTTCAGAAGTAAAGGATGAGATTATCTTCTGAGCCAATGCCTACCTGCTTTGGTCAGATGTGCAAAACTCATGTTCCACCAGGCATAGCACAGACATGCAGCATGAATTGTAGGAAAAAATGGGACTGACAGAAAGGGTAGCTGAGGGAGAGGTGAACAGAAGGAAACAGTGACAGCCCAGGATGAAGCCCCAAGGCTGTGTTCTTTTTCAACCTGGAGTCGGTAGACCTGGCCCCATACTTTCACCAGGCTGGCCATACAGAAATTCACCTGCCTCTGCCTCCCCAAGCCCAGCTGTTTTCACCTTTTTATATACATCAGTTTTATTTATCAGTGGGTGGCTGAAGCACAGAGTTTGGAAAAGGATTCCACAGGTCCTCACTCCCCTCTCACCCACAGGAGGCTTTGAGGTCACCAAGCCCTTCCTGGAAGCATCAGCATTAATTTTTGGACCTACTGTGTAGTCGAACTACTATGAGGGTCTCATAGCGAACAGGATAGGTACTGTTCCCACCTTATGACTGTGAGAGAGCAGCCAACAACTCAAATGTCAGCCTCTGTGTTGAAAACCTTTGCATAGGCCAAGGAACCAGGCTGGGTGGAGTCAGAGGGGAATTCTTTCATCTGTGACAGAGAAGTGTATAGGATGCCAGCCCAGCCTTGCCTGCAGGTCATAAGTGCACCTCGTGAGAACATGTGCAGACTGGAGACCTCCAGGCTAACTAATCCAGATGGGGACAACAGGAGACTACAAGAGGGTTAATAGCAGTGACATGGTCTTTACCCTGCCCACCCGCAGGGACTTTGCAGTCTGTCCTCAGAGCAGCAGTCCTGGTGACGCCAATAAAGGTGTCACGTGTCACAGCAAGAGGTTCTTGTCTTGCTTGTTTTTACCACCTGAGTTCTCAAATTGCAAAGGAACAGGAACACCTTGCTATTAAGAAAGGGCCTGACCCTGCCTCTGTGGTCAGCAGGCCAAATCACTTCAGCTTAGGAGGAAAGGCCTGTCCCAGCAGATATTGGTCCCCACATACTCCCAGAGGACACAGCTCCTGAAAGGTTCCTACCTTCTTAACAAGGGTAAGGAAGCTTGAACTGAGGCTCAGAGGTAGGGACTTCCTTTCCTCTGCTGGGACTCAGACTTTGGGTAAGTCCTTTCCCTACTACAACCCTCAGCTTCTCTGCCTAGAAGTTTATCAGGCTGGTCTCTGAGGCTTCTGCTGGGGCCCCTACCTACCTGTTATGTAAATCTGCCCAGGGAGAGATTTCACTTGTGGATCTGCACCCTTACAAAAGGAACAAGTAGCAAGCTGTTTGTCACACCTGGGCCTGCCACCAACCCCCGTGGGCTGGGAACCTTCAGGAAGAGCTGCAAAGTCACTTCTTTGTGCTCAGCCTATTCCAAGGTCAAGGGGCCTGCGTCTCTATCCTTTGTTGCTTAGCTGTTAGGCTATAATTTCTCTCAGGGAATATTTATATTATGTGATCTCTTTTACTGTTTAAGAAAGCAGGGATGGACTCATTATTGAACAAGAGACTTTTGCAGGGGAGGTCTTGTGTCAAAAAAAAAGAGTTTTATTTTTAATAATGTGTGATTGTGTGTGTGTGTATTTATGTACTCATGCAGTCTGGAGGCATTAAATACCCCTGAAGGGCTGGAGTTCCTTGTGAGCCAGCTGGTGTGCTGGGAATCAAATTTAGGTCTTCTGTAAAAGCAGTACGGCTCCTAACCACTGGGCCATCTCCCCAGCCCTGGGTAATAGGCTGTTGTGGAAAGCTGTGGGTTTCTGTGGTAATTGGTTTCTTGTTAACTGCAGGTTACTGCATTCATACAAGGAGCATGGCATGACCCGGGTTGGACTGTTGGGTTGGTTGGTTTATATGTGCCTCTAGGGATCAAGGCCAGGCTCTTGCACATGCTGCACTGATTCTCTGCCACTCTACAAATGGGTAAACTGAGCCTGCAGGCTGTGCCCTGGTGGCCCATGTTCTATAGCTAGTGCACTAGTGGAGCTGGGGTTACCTCACCTAAGACCAAGCTTCATTTTTTTTTTCTCCTTGTCATGGAATGGGACAAGTCTTAACCAAGCATGATGTTGCTTCTCCTGCCTCCATTTTCCATGGGCACCATGCTTAGTGTTGTCTCAGTGAGTGGCCATGTCCTGGCAGTCTGAGCTGAGCAGGGGAAGTGCAAACATTCTCTAAGGGATCAGAGTGCACTGCATGTGACAAACTATGTTGCCTTGAACACCGTGTCCCCATGGAGAAGGTCCCAGTCTTCCTAAGTGACTTAGGTAATACAGGGAGGCTGAAGAGCCCTGGTCACCGTGCCTATACTGCAGGGTGCAGCTGAACAGGCATGTAGTTCCCGGGGAGCCCAAGCTTCTTGTGGTCTGGGAAGCTGTAGAAGATGGGGCATCTGCTCCTAGGGCAAGCATCTGAGGAAAGAGTTGGGATTCTAGGAAAAGGTGAGCAGAGAGTGTTGTGAACCCTACCTCAGGCATTCTGGGATGAGTGGGTTTGTTTGCTTTGGTTTGGTTTGGTTTTTACTCTGGAGTAAAGTAAGGGCAACAACTTCTCTGCAGCTGTAGTCCTGCTCCTTACCAGACAACAGGCCAGAGGGACAAGTATTGGGGCAATTATTTTATTTTTATAATTTATTCATTTGTTTTACTTTATTTTATTTTTTAAGACAAGGCCTCAACTGTGTAGTCCTGGCTGACCTGAAACTCACTATGTATGTCAAACTGGCCTCAAACTTACAGAGCTCTGCCTGTTGATTGCTGGGATTAAAACTCATAGACTACCATATCTGGTGCTCTGTGTGTGTGTGTGTGTGTGTTTATTTTGCCTGAATATATGTCTGTTCATCCCTAGGACTGCTGGGAGTCAAACCTGAGTCCTTTGGAAGAGTAACTACGGACTGAGATGTCTCTCCAGCCCACAACTTTATTATTTGTTTGTATGTTTGTTTGGTTTGGTTTTTTGAGACAGGGTTTCTCTGTGTAGTCCTGGCTGTCCTGGAACTCACTCTGTAGACCAGACTGGCTTCAAACTCAGAGGTCCACCTGCCATGTGCCTCCTGAGTGCTGGGATTAAAGGTTCATACCACCACTGCCAGGCAAAAGGTAGGGCTTTGGATTTTGTTTTGTTTATTTTGTTATTTATTCTCTGTATGTCCTAAAGAAAGGGGAACATGGTGGCTGCAGAGTCAGGACTCAGCCAACTCCCAAGGTCAGGCTGAGATGGTGCTGCATTTTATCTAGAGTCAACACAGCCTACTAGACAAGAATATATAATGGGGGTTAGCAGTCAGGACACAGCTGACATCAGCACCAAGTTACTGGAGCGTTCCAGGTGTCCAAGTGTCATCCATAAGCATGCTGGTGAAGCTAACTGTCTAGACTCAGGGAGGTGCCCCTCTGATCCCTGCCCTAGTGGGATGGTCTCCTTAGTGTACCCAAGCACCTGCATTGTCCACATGGTAACGCTTCTCTGGTGAGTTGTTTAAGATAGGATATTTCTGTGTAGCTCTGACCAGCCTGGAACTTGCTGTATAGACCAAGTTGACTTTGAACTACAGAGATCTGCCTGCTTTGCTTCCCAAGTGCTGGGATTAGAGGTGTGCACCACCATGCCTGGCTGGCTTTATTTATTTATTTATTTACTTACTTACTTACTTACTTACTTACTTACTTACTTATTTATTTTTAGCTTGTGTGTATGAGTGCTTCACCTGCATGTATGCCTGTCTTATTAGGGTTTTTATTGCAGCGATGAAACATCATGGCCAAAAAGCAAGTTGGGGAGGAAGGGTTTTGCCATTCATCATTGGAGGAGGTCAGGACAGGAACTCAAACAGGGCAGGAACCTGAAGGTAGGAGCTGACGCATGCATAGGCCGTGGAGGAGTGCTGCTTACTAGCTTGTTTTCCTTGGCTTGTTCGGGCTGCTCTTTTATACCACCCAGGGCCACCTGCCCAGGACTGGTTCTACCCACAATGGGCTAGGTTCTCTCACATCAATCACTAATTAAGAGAACACCCACTTCCAGGGATGAGGGTGGAGGGTTGGTTTTCATGTCTTTAATCCCAGCACTCAGGAGGCAGAGGCAGGTGGATCTCTGTGAGTCTGAGGCCAGCCTGGTCTACAAAGCAAGTTCCAGGACAGCCCAGGATACACGGAGTAACTGTGTCTTGAAAGAAACAAAAAAGAAAACACCCTACAGGCCTGCCTATAGTCTGATCAAATTGAGCCATTTTCTCAGTTGATGCTCCCTCTTCTCCAGTGACTCTAGCTTGTGTCAAGTTAACATATAATTAGACAGCTCAGTGTCTGTGCACCATGTACATGGACATCTGCTGTCCACAGACACCAGATGAGACTCCTGTCCCCAGGAGCTAGAGTTACAGAAGGTACGTGTGAGCCTTCATATGGCTTCTAGGAACCAACCCCAGGTCCTCTGCAAGAGCAGTCAGTGCTCTGAATTGCTGAGACATCTTTCCAGCCCCTTATTTTACTTATTTTGTTTTGTTTTCAGATGGTCTTACTTTGTAGTCCTGGGTATCCTGGAACTTGCTCTGTAGACCAGGCTAGCCTTGAACTCAGAGATCTACCCGCCTCTGCTTCCCAATTGCTGGGATTAAAGGTTTCCACCACCACTGTCTGGCTCATTTTTTAACTGTGTGTGTGTGTGTGTGTGTGTGTGCATGTGTGCACATGTGTGTGTGTGTGTGTGTGTGTGTGTGTGCACGTGTTTAGGTTTGTGCTTAGAAGCCAGATAAGGATGTCAGATCCCCTGGCGCTGGAGTTACAGGTGCTTGTAGGCCATTTGACATGGGTGCTAGAAACCAAATCTTGGTTCTCTGAAAGAGCAGCGTGTACTCGTAACCTCGGAGCTGCCCTCCGGGCTCCCAGCACCACTGCAGCCAACCCTTTCCACTGCACCCGCCCTGTGGATTTTACAGTCCATCAATTCTTCATGATTTTGGGTAAACGTTCAGACTTGTACCACTGTCACCACGATCCACTTATGACCAGAAGTCACTTAGGCCTGTGACATTATTCCTCGTTTGCACCTCACTATCTTAAGCCTCAGGCTAACACTCATCTACTTCAAGTCTTTGTGGAGTTCGAAACCTTGCTAAAAACCGAACCCAGATCTGCTCATGCCAGACAAGTGCTTTACTGACAAACCGTATCTCCAGCACTATGGTCTTTTTTTTTTTCCTAAAAAATCAGGAGACTTGCAAGAGAGCTCAGTTGTTAAGTGCTTGCTGCATGAAGGCCTGAGTTCAATTCCCAGCGCTCGTGAAAGAAAAACCTGGCACACCTGTAGTGCCTCCTGGGGAGCTGGAGACAAGGTGCTCCTGAGGAATGATACCCTAGGCTAACCTCTGGCCTGCACACAACAGCCACACCTGTTACTGTGCACACATGAACATACATGCACACTGAACACACACTCACAAATCAAAGAATATACAAGACTATAAGTTCCCAAACCCAACCCAGAAGATCCAGTGTTTATAATTCAGTAGTGTCTCTCCAAACACTCTTCAGCATAACCATTCATTCATAATAAGCAGTCTCACAGCACTATTCCGATAAGATTTAATTAAATAACCCTGGTTCTTAACACAGTTCAAATGTCAGTGACTATAAAGTTCATCACCAATAGCTGCATAACATGAACTTTGTAGTCAGCTCCTCCCCCACAGATCTCGTGGAACAACAGGTTGCATCTGATGGGCAACCAGTCGTAACATGCCCCCGCCTCCTGTGTCAGGGTCTGATTAGTCACTGTATTTGTTCAGGGACAGGCAGCGAAGCTTACTGTCACTAAATGAAGAAATCAGATGAGCCATGTAGCCTCTCACAAAGTAGATTATCAGAAGAGCAAGCAGAGACTCAAGTACGGGTAAGCAAGGGCCTTGGACATGGGACAGCACATTTGCATGAGACTAAATAGCTGGCCTTGGGAACAGGAACACTGTAGGTGTCCTTGTTGGAAAATTTCATTTGCAGTGAGAGAAACTTCCCAAGTGCACACTGACTGACACCAGTAGGAAAGCTATTCTTAAGCTGGAGAGGCCTAGAGATTTATTTATTCATGTGTTGCTGCTTGGACAGAGCCCAGGCCTGGGCCTTGCTAGTCAAGAGCGCCAACTGCTGAGCTGCAGGCCCAGCCTTTACACTTTTTTTTTTTTTTTAAGACAAGGTCTTATTACGTAGGTAGTTTGGGTTCTGTTAAAATGACTGTGACTCTGGGGCTGCCAAGATGGCTAAGCAGGCAACAACATCTGCCACCAACTTGGCTGACCTGAGTTTTACCCTCAGAACCTACATGATGGAAGGAGAAAACTGACTCTTCCACATATGAGCGGTGGTAACATGCACACACACATACCAACACAGATAATAAGTAAATAACATACTTGGGCTGGAAAGATGGCTTAAAGGTTAAGAGCACTGACTGCTCTTCCAAAGGTCCTGAGTTCAATTCCCAGCAACAAAATGGTGGGTCGCAACCATCTAGAGTGAGATCTGGTACCCCCTTCTGGTGTGTATGTACACATGCAGGTAGAACAGTGCATAAATAATAAATAAGTGATTTTTTAAAATAAATAAATAACATAATTAAAAATAAAACCTCATGATCCTCCTGCCTACCAAAGTACATGCTACAGACATGTGACACTATGCCTAGCCCTAATCACCTTTTTTTTTAAAGTGTTATGTATCTATAAGTTGTATGGAAAGTAAGAGCCTTTTAATTATATTTTTAAAAAATCCCTCAAACAAACCAAATAATCACTTCCTGTTCCCTCTCTACATCTCCTGCTGAGTAGCCACCTCTGCACTGGTTGGGTGCTATAGTCATCCTGTGGGAGGAGTCCTGCAGTATGTGGCCTTGTGTGACTGGTGTCTTTTACTGACAACGTATGTTTCTGTAAATAATAGCATGTAAGAATAAATTTCACTGTATGACTATACTCTAGTTTATTCAACCATTCACAAACATTTGGGGATTATTTTCTACATGTGCTTAAAAAGGTATTTATTTTATGTGTTTTCCTGCATGCAGTGTGTGTGTAGAGGCCAGGAGAGGGTGTAGTGTTCCCAGTACTGGGAATACAGATGGTTGTGAGCCACCATATGGGTGCTAGGAACTGAACCGAGGTCCTCTGCTAGAGCAACAAGTGCTTTTAATCACTGAGGCATCTCTCTAGCCCCCTTTTCTCCATTTTAACTAATGAATGATGCTGCTCTAGGTCAGAGGTGTAGCTCAATGGTAGAGCTCATGCTTACATGACATGAACTCATAATATTCAGTCCCCAGCACTGCATAGAAATAATAACACTGCTTTAAGAAAAAAGGCTCATGACAGATCTTGCTTGGATATCACTTTTCAGTTCTTCAAGTAAATTGCCAGATCACAGGTAAGTCTGGAAGTCATAAAAATGAAATACTTAACTGGGTGTGTTGGTATACACCTGTGACTTCAGCATTCAGAGATCACAAGTTTGAGGCCATCCTGGACTACAATAGTCAGATCCTGTTTTGTTTTGTTTTTTAAGTTTGTGTGTGGCAGAAAAAAAAGAGGGAAGGGGGAAGGAAAGAAAAGAAAGAAACCATATGTATACTCTAAAATCTTTATCTTGGCCCTTAGAGAAAGGTCAGGTCTCACTATAGAGGAACAAATATATACTGGGGAGTAGCTAACAAACACACGGGATGGTGAACATGCCTGGAGGGCTCTGGCAGGCCATGAGCCTCAGGGTAGGCGTAATGAAGTATGTGTGGGTTTGGATTCTTATACGGTAGAGAAGCAGCCTTGTCTAACTTCACAACTGTTTTTCTTCTGCTGTACCCAGACAGTGGCCAAAAACAGCATGAGGCAACTGTAGTAAATAGACACATTGTCAAGCCAGGCGCAATGGCACATGCCCATAATCCCAGCACTCTGGGAGGCAGAGGCAGATGGATCTCTGTAACTTCGAGGTCAGCCATGTCCAGAAAGTGAGTCCAGGACAGCCAAGGCTACACAGAGAAACCCTGTCTCAAACAAAACAAAACAAAAAACAAAAACCCACAATGTCCTCTTGTATAGCCAAAGGCTACCTTGAAAGTTAGTGTGTAGGCCAATCTAGCCTCAAACTCAGAGCCTCTTGTGTCTGCATCCTGAATGCAGGACTATAGACCTGTACTATACCCAACTATACTTGGCAGGATCTTACTACATAGCCCAAGCTGACTTCAAATTTGCAATCAGGGATGGAGAAATGGCTCAGTGGTTAAGAGTACTATCAAAACTTTCAGAAGATAGGGGTTAGGTTTCCAGCACTTAGCTAGGAGCTCACAACCATCTGTAACTCCAGTTACAGCAGATAAAGGGCACCCCTTCTGACCTCTTAGGGCACTGTATGCACGTGCTACCAGGCTTATATACAGACAAAATACAGGCTTAATAAACAAGCTTTCAATGTTCCTGCTTCATCCTCCTGAGGATTACTGGTATGCACCCATGCCTGGCTCGGGTTTTAGTGTGCACACATGCCTGGCTCAAGTTTTTGCTACTTTAGCTCATACATTTAGTCCTATGAGATACTGAGTTCATTTTTTTTTATTAGTTTATTCTCTCATATATTACATCCTGACCAGTTTCCCCTTTTTCTTCTCCCAGTTTCTTCCCTCCCCTTCTCCCTCCTCCACTCTCTTCCTTCAGAAAATGGCAGGCTTCCCAGTGATAACAACCAAACATGTCATATCAAGTTGTAATAACATTTGCACCTTCCTCATATTAAGGCTGGATGAAGCAACCCAGTAGGAGGACAAGGGTCCCCAAAGCATCAGAAACAACCTTGATCCCTCTGTTAGGAGTCCCACAAAAACAGCATGCTACACAACTATAGCATATATGTAGAGGACCTAGATTAGAACCATACAGACTCCCTGATTGTCAGTTCAGTCTCCCCTTCCGAAACCCAAAAAGTAAAGAAGTGATTCCTAATGATATTCTGCTATACTTGTAGACAGGAGCCTTCTATAATCACCACTAGAAAGGCTCCATCCAGCAACTGATGGAAACAGATACAGAAACTGAGCTTAGGTGGATCACAGTGAATACTGTGGAAGAAGGGGCGGAAGGATTGGAGAAGCCAGAAGGGTCAGGGACACCATGAGAAGAGCCCCAGAATAAACAATCCTGAGTTCATTTTTTGATATGTGATGTGAGGTAGTGATTTTTTTTAACTTTGAGGCTGGCCTCAACTTTCAAGCTTCTTGCCCTAGTCTCAGGTGTCAGGACTACAGGCATGCAACACCATATTCACTCCAAATGCATTCTTTTCTGTACAGGTATAGTACAGAGAGATCTCAGAAATGGTTATTCTTTGGTTCAGCTCCCTCAAGTAGAGCCTGGGAGCTTTTGAGGAACGAGAGCCCACACACATTTAATGACCTGGACCAAACCACAGGGATTACAAATTCTGAAGCCTATCCATGCAACAGCCTCAATAATTGCCAGTAAAGTTCTGACTAATCCATTCATTTACCAATCAGAATTATGCCAGTTTGTAGAGTGATGGTGAGTGTATGGGTGTGGGTGGATGTCATAATTTTGCTATTACTGGTTGGCCTGAAACTTGCTATGTAGATCAAGATGGACTCAAACTTGTGGCAATCCCACTGCCTCTATTTCCCCAAGTGCTGGGATTATGAACATGCACCACCATACCTGGCTCAATTTTTTGCCTTTTAAGACTTTACCCTTTTAGGACAGACATGGTGGCGCACACCTTTAATCCCAGCGCTTGGGAGGCAGAGGCAGGTGGATCACTGAGTTCGAGACTAGCTTGTTCTACAAAATGAGTCCAGGACAGCCAAGGCTACACAGAGAAACCCTGTCTTGAAAAACCAAAGCAAACAAAACAAAAAGGAAGAAAGAAAGAAAGAAAGAAAGAAAGAAAGAAAGAAAGAAAGAAAGAAAGAAAGGAAGGAAGGAAGGAAGGAAGGAAGGAAGGAAGGAAAGAAGGAAGAAAAGAAAAGAAAGGGAAAAAAAATGAAATTCTGCTTTTCATTTCTCCAATGCTCAGAATATAGGCCAGTTGCTTGTGGGCCCTCAGTCTCCTGATATTGTAGTTCATTAACAGACTGAGTACACACCTTTTGCCTGAGGATGAACTTTGTTATCATTTCAGGCTAGTGTTAATGTTCAGTTCATCCAGCAGCATTTGTTAAATAATATGTTCTTTCCCAAAGAATTGTCTTGGCCTCTCTAGGAATAATCACCTATGAGCATGATAGTTGGTTTGGAAATTGTTGGTTCCTTTGCAGTGCCCTGCATGCCTGTCCTTCAGCCAGTTCCCTTTTATTATTTTATTTTTTGGACCTTCAGCTCTGCTCTGTAGCGAACTTTGAAACTGTGTAGTGTGTATCAACCTTTTCAGAGCTGTCTGTTGGGTTTTATGTTGTGGTGTTGTTTTTTTGCTTTGGTTTTTTACTTTTATTTGGTTTTTGTTTGTTTTGTTTGAGATAGGTCTTACTCTGCAGCTCAGGCTGGACTAGAAGTTAGTAGTGATCCTCCTGCCTCTGCCTCAAGTGCTAGGGTTATAGACATGCAACACCACATAGCTACTCCCCCACCTTTTTCTTTTATTTACGTTTATCCCTGTAGTTTCTGTCAGTTTGAGTTTGTGCGATGTAGATCTGTGGTGTTGTTCACCAGGTTCTTCAGTCCCGTGTGTAGCAATCCAATGGAGGGACCCAGGTTAGACTCACTGTGCTAGCAGAAATGCTGCGTGTGTGTTTCCAGAATTGGAACATGAGTATGGGTTGGTGCTCTCTGTGTTGTTAGCCTCTGCCAATGACCTTCATTAGGGTCACTTTACCCTTGGAGGCAATTTGAATTGTAAAGTACCACTATGTGATTGAGATGATTAAGGGGAAGACTCAGGCAGTAAAGCACTGGCCTGGTGCTCAGTGATTCTATGTTGTTGTTGTTGTTAGAACTGTTTGTGGGACTCAAGTCCCTGGCTTGGAGCCATATTCTAGCCTAGGCTGCCTGCCCTTCTCTGCCCCTGGAGGGGAAGTCTACAGTGCCTGTGGATCTGGGAGGCATGTTGAGGAGTACAGCAGCCATCTCAGTGCACCTGGCGTGTCCACTCTGGGGAAGGAAGGCTGGAGCCTCACTCACTCGGTGTTTGCACCAGTCTGTAAGTGTTCTGCATAGCACTCTACCACATTCATGGCCCTCGGGGTTCCTGGGATCTGGCTTGGCCTTGCCTTTAAAGCTGTGCAAGAGCCTGCTCTTCCAGAAGCCTTTTCAGGTTATAGCTGTCTTGTCACCTCTCTTGGTCCTGCTTCTCTCATCTGGAACTTAACTCTGCATGGATACTTGGTTTGTCAGCTCTTGTCTGCCCACCCATTATCCCAGTGCCTCACCCAGCTCATGGTACACAGTGGGTGTACGATTCATCTTGGTTGGCTGTTTGTGTTATGCACAGCTCAAGAACAGCACCATTCCCTGATTTATCCAAACTGACTGCCATTGCAAAGGCCACTCTCTTGAGTAGCCCAAAATTGTGGAATTCCAGTTTTCTCTCTCCTTCTCAAAGCCATTCAACTCCACTCACTTCTGTTCACTCATTTTGTGCCCTGTACCCTCCCCACCTCAGCTCTGTCCTTCAACACTCCCACTGTCAGGCCTCATTCATTCATTCATTCATTCATTCATTCATTCATTCATATTGTCTCTCCCTCCTTCCCTTCTTCCCTTTCTCTCCCTCTCTCTGCTATACCCAGTTGAATAATCATTCAAGGTACATGGTGTCATGCTGTTGTCAACAGGAAGAGGTTCTGCTGCTGTGGAGATGAATTTGGGAAATGCCAATGAAGCTGTAGGTTAGAGACAGGCTCAAATTCAGAAATGATGAAGTGTGAAGTATGCACTTGTCAGAATCAATCAAAAGCCAAAAAGAGCTAGAAATAAAACACCCAGGGCTGACAGATGGCTCATCAGCTGAAGGTACCTGCCAGCAATCCTGATGATGTAAGTTAGGTGCCTGGGACTCACATAGTGGGAACTAACAGTCAATTCCTACAAGTTGTCCTCTGACCTCCACACATGCTGTAATGTGTATACCCCCAAAATAAGTAAATTATAACTTTAGAAAATCTCAAATCCAGTCAAATAATGTGATGTCTGTGCACATCAAACAGAGAACCAAACAAAACTCAGAAGAAAAGCAAAAAGAGAGAAAGAGTCTCTGAGCAACTGGGCGGCCCCTTTCCTACAGCTTCACCACTACTCTTGTGCAATCATAATGTGCATGCATGCATATATAGACATATATATGCACATATACATATATATGGGCATCTTTATTTCTTATTTTTAAAGACATGGTGTCAGGTAGTATGGGCTGGCCCCAAACTCATTACGTAGCTGTGCATGACCCCCTGACCCTCCTATTTCTTAAATGCTGAGGAGACAGGTATGTGCTGTCATGCCTGGTTATGTAGTGCTGGGGACCGAACTCAGGGCTCACAGGATGCAGGCACTCAGCCCACTGGGCTACAGTCCCAGCCCTAGGGTACTGAAAAAAAAAAGTACTTGTAACCAGTGGTAGTGCTGGTAGTGCATGCCTTTAATCCCAGCACTTGGGAAGCAGAGATAGGTGGATATGTGTGAGCTTGAGGACAACCTGGTCTACAGAGCTAGTTCTAGGACAACCAAACAACACAGAGAAACCCTGTTAATTAATTGATTAATTAAAAAATATAGGGGCTGGAGAGATGACCCACAATTAAGAGCACTCCAGAGGACCCAGGTTCAATTCTCAGCACCCACATGGCAGCTCACAACTGTTGTAATTAGTTCCCAGCAACCTGACACCATTATACCAATATAAGTAAATTAGATAGATAGATAGATAGATAGATAGATAGATAGATAGATAAAAACAATAATTATAAAGAAGAAAAACTAAAATATTTGCTAACCAACATACCAAAGAAAATCATGCCTCACATTTTGGTTATACTGAGGTAGTCTCAGGACCACCTATTTGAGCTTGCTGGTCTACAATGAGTTCTAGCTCTTGACACTATCCAGGATTCAGTGAAAGTGCAGGGCACAAAGCTGCCAAAGATGCTGTGTGCCAGGCCCCAAGTGTTCCCATCCCTAGAAGTCTGAGACTGCTGAGGAACCTCATACATCACACATGGCCCAAGGCTTCTCTGGATGGTGTCTGGTGCCAAGATTGTTGTCACAGGATGGGCAGGCTCCTCTGAGCCTCTGTGTGCCTTGTGTCCTCATGTCTTGTGTGCATATCACCTCCAGTGACTGTTATGGGGACTTAGCAGGTCTTGACAGTCATGGTTTTCTGCTAGCCACAGCAGGTAGTGTCCAAACATGGGAGTCTACCGCTGCTCTCTCCTGGGCCTAACTGAGCAAACCCTTCACCAGAGTTCAAACTTGGCCTGGAGTAAGCAGTCCTGAGTCCCTGTATGTTTGTTGTGTGACCTTGAACACACTACCTCCTATGCCCACTCCAAGCTCTCATCTGTACAAGGAACCCAGCCAGATCATCCTAAGTGTATGAACAAGCCTAGGAAGACCTTTGCCAATACAAGTGACCACTGTTCCTGGTACCATCATTCCCCCCCCCTCCTCACATTCCTCTTCCTCAGCCTTTCTGGGGTCACCTGTAACCTGGTCATCAGGGCTCTATCTCAGGACACACGGAGTCAGGACTGGTGGGCTCCATCTTCACAGCCTCCCTCGGGTGGGTGGTAGAGCCTGGAAGGGTGATGGAGCCCTACAAGAAGTCAGTACGAGTAGTCTTAGAGAGCAGGTTCCAGCTAGCCTGGCTACCTGAGCCTGGGTCTCCACCCATTTCAGCAAAGCAGAGGGCGGGGCTGTGATCTTAAAGTCACTGACAACCTGGGGTTGCTCACATACCACACCAGGAGATTTTCACACTGATCTTCCCTTCTCTGTATCCAGCTCACCATGGCCAAACAGCTGCAGGCTCGAAGGCTGGACGGGATCGATCACAACCCCTGGTGAGCTGATGGGTTGAGAAGGTCTCTGGGTGTCCCTTCTCCCATGGGGGGACCATCCTTCATTTGTAGTAACTCAGTGTAACCGGGATGGGTAGATGACAGTTACAGCAGAGGAGAGGCAAGGCACAAGGTAGTGGATAAGCCTCAAATCTCAGCATCCCCTGCTTGGCTGGACAGGAGACACTGGTACAAAATGGAGATGGTTTTAGCTCCCTGAAGGGCCCTGTAGACTAGCAACAGCTACAAATCAGGCAGCAGATCATGACCTACACAGATGATAACTGATCCTCCACTCCATACCTATGGCTTCCACACATCTGGGGATTCAAAACCAAAAACATTTTTTAAAAAAACTCATCCTTGTACCTGGAGAGATAGTTTGACAGGTATGAATACATGTTGCATCTGTTAGAGTTCTTGGGTTCAGATCCTAGTACACATTTTCAAAAAGGTGGGCCCAGCCATGCCTCTTTGTAGGCCCAGTGCTCTGGGGAACAGAAACAGGAAGACTGCTGGGGCTTGCTCTTCAGCACCCTAGCTCCAGGTTCAGTGAGACCTTATCTCAAGGGAGTAAAGAGAGTCATAGATCACTTACACACACATGTACTTACACATGCTGTACACACGTGCACACACTGAGAAGAGGAAAATGTACACCCTTACTGAACAGAAAGACAGTTTTTCTTGCCCTGTCACTGAGCAATACAGTATAACAGCTATTTACACGGCACATACAGTGACTGAGAGTGCGTAACCTAGAGATGAGGTGTGTGGGAAGGGCTGAGATGTACCTCAGTGCACCAGGGCCTGTTTGGCTTGTGCAAGGCTCTGGGCTTCAGGCCCAGCATGGGGGAGAAAGAGAAAAGGGCTTAGATCATATGAAAACGATCATACACTTAGGTCATATGCATATGCAAATGTTACAGTAAGAGATTTGATCTTTTGCCAGTTTGAATATCCTGGGTGGAGGAGGTCTGAAACCCATTTCTCCACAAATGCTAAGGGTCAGTCTTCATTTTATTTCATAGGTGCTTTGGATGAGATAAGCTAAGAAATATGATAGAGGCTGGAGAGATAACTCAGTGGTTAGGTGCTTGCCATGAACACATGAAGACCAGGGTTCAGATCCCCAGAACCCATGTAAATGCCTGGTAATTGTGGCTCACTATCTGTAATTCCAGCCTTGAAAGACAGACGAGGGATCCCCAGAGCAAAGTGGCTAGACTAGCCACTTTGCCGGCAAGCTCCGGATTTGACTGAGACCCTGTATCATTGAATAAGGTGGAAGAACAATGGAGAATGATGCCGTCAACCTTAGTACTCTACCTGCACACACATGTGTATGCCCACACATACACATGACAGTGGAAAAGAAGAAGGAAGTATGATAAAGGCCAGTGTTTCCCCCTCAGTGCTGGGGAGTGGACCCAGGGCTCCTGGGTGGCCCTGGCTGTACTAGAACACACTCTGTAGACCAGGCAGGCCTCAAACTCTGGGATCCAACTACTTCTGCCTCTGGAGTGCTAAGATTAAAGACCCGTGCTACCACCACCCAGCAGGGGCCATCTTCCTTTCAGACTTCCTTATGGGTAGCATTTGTATTTTACAAAGTTCCTCAGATGTTCTGTGGCTGGGAACTAGGGAGCCATGCCTGGGTCCCCTGCCAAGTCTGGCTGTCCTCTGGGGTCACACTAGACTATGAATCTTTTAAGTGGATGGGTAGGCACACAGCTATAGTTAAAGTGAAGTCTTGCCCTGCAATGCCACAGGAAAAGTCAGAGCCACTGCCCTCTCATCTTTGGGATTCACACACAAAATAGTGATATAACACACACACACACACACACACACACACACACACACACACACCACACACACATTAGTGGGAGCCACGCCAAGCAGTGCTGTAGCTGATTTTCCAACAGAAACCCCTTAGATCCGCTTAGCAGTGCGCCTGATGTGTTCTTTCCATGGTCTTGCCATGCCCCATTCTGTCAGAACTTAGATCCACAGCACTGTCCACAGACCCAGTCTCAGACACATATTACAGTCTGTGCTGGTGACTATTTGGCTATTAGTTTGGGGGCTGAAGGATGGCCTCCTCAGAGAGAAGTGATGACCTCCTAAGCTGAAGAGCCTGAGTTTGGATCAGCTGACTGTACAGGTATTCCCTGTGACCCCGGCACTGGGGGGTGTAGGGAGAGGTGAGTCCCTGGAAACTCCCTGGCCGGCACTTTACACGGAATTCTGGGCCAGTGAGACACCTTGCCTTGACCAAAAAGGTGGAATGTCCTGGAGGAATGACACCCAAGGTTGTCCTCTGACTCAGTGCACTCCTGTACCCACACCTAAACATACACACATCCTGACTCCACAGCCTCCACCTGGGGTCATGTAATTCACCAGGCAACACACAGGACTCAGAGAATGTCTTCTGCTCACCCCCAAGCTTATTATGAAGGCCATTGCCAAGTTAGAAAGGAATAGGCTGGCACTGCCTGGCACTCAGCTCCATAGTCTCACAGTGGCACTCGGTCACACAGGCCACCAGGTGGTGATGTGAGGCAAGTGTTTCACGCTATGCTGGGGTCTCCAAGTAATACATCACCGCACCCCATTCAGCAGGTGTCTCTGAAGCATAAGGGCAGCCAGGGCGTGGCTTGGGGAGCTTTGCCGGGCTTTCCCTCCAGTGCAGCAGGGAAGAAATGACAGGGTAAAGGACAGGCTGTAGCATGTGACACCCCAGTCGCCTGCTTGCCAACTACATGGTTTTAGATACACATGTTTCTTACTGTGGGGCATGGCCAAAGTTTGAAGTCTCCTGGGCTGAGCCATAGAATTGGTTCAGGGCCTGGCTACCTTAAAATAGGGGACCCACACATGTAGGGTAGAGGTATGCTACCTGTCTCTCATACATGTTCACCCTGACCTGCAAACAAGCAGATGTATCCCTGGGAGGAACGGGTAACCTCTCAGTGCCTGATTTTCTGTTTGTTGCCAGGGTGGAGTTTATCAAACTGTCAAGTGAGTATGATGCTGTGAACTTGGGCCAGGGCTTCCCTGACTTCTCACCTCCGGACTTTGCTGTGCAAGCTTTTCAGCAGGCCACCAGTGGGGACTTCATGCTCAACCAGTACACCATGGCATTTGTGAGTCTCCCGCCTCTCCTGAGTTCAGCATCCTTCAGTAACTGAGAGTCCTATGTCCTGCACCTCAGATTTCCAGTGCAAGAGGCAGGTCAGGGACCTTCACCACCAAAACATCTGCCCCAGACTTCGAGGAAGCAGGAAGTGGCACATGTAGTGGAAGGGGAGCTTCCAGAGAAGCTGGTTGTAAAAGTAACTTTTATTCACCTGAAGCAATTGTCATCTCTCTGCTAACCTAGACCTCTAGCATCCATGAAATCTAATCTAGGCCTAGAATGTTTTCAGCCTCTGGGATGTACTGCTAAATAAGGTTACCCTTTCTGGTTCAGAAAGAACCAGAATCAGAGTTGAATCAGTTGGCTGATTCAACTCAGCTGCTTTGGCTCAAACTCCTCTCCTAGCTGACTGAATAAATCTGACTTCTCTCAGCTTCTGACTTTTTGCTCTGCTTGGCCTCAAACTAACTCTAGCAATCTGTTCTAATCTTCTGCTCCTTTGCAATGCTTACTATTTTTTAACTCGAATGGACTCATTCTGTATGTAATATAATGTAACCTGATTGTCACTAAAGAAAGTATCCTGGACATCCTTCCAGCCACAGCCTCAGTCCTTTTTTTTTTTTTTTTTTAAATCCCTAACACAGGGCCTTGTGGATGCCAAGTGCTTATTCTCCCGTTGAGCTGCAATGCAGCTCCCCACCTCTTTTTTTTTTTTTTTAAGATTTATTTATTTATTTATTATTTATACAGTGCTCTGCCTGCAGGACAGAAGAGGGCACCAGATCACACTAAAGATGGTTATTGAGCCACCATGTGGTTCCTGGGAATTGAACTCAAGACCTTTGGAAGAGCAGCCAATGTTCTTAACCTCTGAGCCATCTCTCCAGCCCCCTTCACTTCTTTTTTTAAGAATTTCATACAGGGGGCTGGAGAGATGGCTCAGAGGTTAAGAACTCTGACTGTTCTTCCAAAGGTCCTGAGTTCAATTCCAAACAACCAGATAGTGGCTCACAACCATCTATAGTGAGATCTGGTGCCCTCTTCTGGTGCAAAGGCAAACATCAGGCAGAATGCTGTATGAATAATAAATAAATCTTAAAAAAAAAACAAAACAAAGAATTTCATACATCAGTATTATAGTGACATTTCCACTCTTCCCTCCCAGTCTTCCAACTCCTTCTGTGCCAGCACTCCCTCTCAAATTCATGATCTCTTTATTATTATAGTTAGATATGTATAAGGATATACAACCTGATGAATCCATTTAATATTAGTGTTTAGAGTTGACCACTTGAGATTAGATAACCTATCAGGGTGGAGAAGACTGATTCTCCCTCTCTCAGAGCCACTGATTGTCTGTTTATTCAGCTGGGCACAGATTTCCCATGTCCGTGTTGGCATGTCTACTGGTCTTGTCATTGTGCAGGATTTGTTGAAATTCCATGGGCGTGGCTTCCCTTGGATAGTGTATAGAGGACACTCTCTCTCAGCATATATCCTGGTCCCGGGCTCCTATGGTCTTTCCACCCACTCTTCTGGGATGTTCCCTGAGTCTTAGATGTAGGAGTTACGGTCTAAATTTCTTAGGTGGAGTTTTGTACCCTGGAGTCAGTTTTTCTCTGCATTTCCCTCACATGTTTAAATAACTGTTTGCTCTCTTCTGCCACCTGATGTGTCATGTTTAATAACCCAATCCACGCTAGTGGGCTGCTGTCAGCCTGGAGCCCAGGGTCCTGACTCTTCCCTTTGGAACATCCAGGCACTGATGTGTGCTGGAATGAAGTAAATTTATTTGTTTGTTTTCAAGACAGGGTTTCTCTATGTACCTCTGGCTGTCCTGGAACTCACTCTGGAAACTAGGCTGGCTTGAACTCACAAAGATCTGCCTGCCTCTACTTTCTGAGTGCTGGGATTAAAGGCATGCACCACCGTTGTCCAGCTATTTATTTTATGTGTGTCTGTATGTGAGTATGTACACATAAGTGCAGATACCACAGAAGACCAGCGGTGGCAGACCCCCTGAAACTGGAGTTACAGGTGGTTGTGAGCTGCCTTATGTGTGTGCTGGAAACTGAACCTAGGTCCTCTGACAGAGCAACATGTGCTCTTCACCACTGAGCCATCTCTACATCCTTTAAGATAAACTTGCATGTAAAATTAATGACTTGAAAGTTAGATGTGGCGGTGCACACCATTCATCCCAGCACTTGGGAGGCAGAGGCAGGCGGATCTCTGTGAGTTTGAGGCCAGACTGCCCAGCAAAGCAAGTCCAGGACAACCAGAGCTACACAGAGACACCCTGTCTTGCAAAACAAAAGGGGGGGGGCTGAGAGAAATGGCTCAGCAGCTAAGAGCACTGTCTGCTCTTCCAAAGGTCCTGAGTTCAATTCCCAACAACCACATAACCATCTATAATGAGATCTGGTGCCCTCTTCTGTGTACGCATGCAGGCAGGCAGAGTACTGTATAAATAATAATAAATCTTTAAAAAAGAAAAAAAAAGAAAAATACATTCCTGCACCTCATTCTCTATAACATTGGGCAAGGTAGTTTTTTCCTCTGGGGTTCCATTTTTAATGCATCTTTTGGTTGCAGGGCTTCGAGAGGTCAGGTGAGCACACACGTCCACTTTAAATGCACAGGGACGTGTGACGTTTTTGTTGCCATGTCAACATCAGGCTCTCCCCACATCCCAGCTCTGAATTGGAATCCAGCCCAAAAAAGTTGACTTTGCTAGAAAGTGCTAGATGGCCAGGGCAGCTGAGCTGGAGGAGTCTAGGCCAATCCTGGGTACCTGACCTGTCTGTCTTGGTAGGGCTACCCACCACTGACAAAGATCCTGGCAAGTTTCTTTGGCAAGCTGCTGGGACAAGAGTTGGACCCACTCAAGAATGTGCTGGTGACAGTGGGTGCCTACGGGGCCTTGTTCTCAGCCTTTCAGGCCCTGGTGGATGAAGGAGATGAGGTGAGAGGTGAAGCCTGACTAGGGTGGGATGAGTCTTAGCTCAGTGCTGACTCTAGCAAATCTGACCCTTGAACCAGGTCATCATCATAGAACCTGCTTTTGATTGTTATGAACCCATGACACTGATGGCTGGAGGTCACCCTGTGTTTGTGCCCCTCAGGCAGGTAAGGGATGCTGGGTGGTAAGGGTGGGTTGAGGGACCGAGGGAATGAGTTGGGCTAGATCCTGGGATATGGGACAAGGGACAAGGGAAGGGAGTCCCCTGAACTGGGAGGATGGAGGTGGAGTCCAGCACTGAGGGAGAGATGGGAAGAGATGCATAAGGAGATGAGTTGCTGTCAGGAAAGTAAATGCTGCTGCCCCTCGCACCTCCTCTTGTAGAGCCCTGCTCCTAAGGGACAACTAGAATCCAGCAATGACTGGCAACTGGACCCCACAGAACTGGCCAGCAAATTCACACCTCGCACCAAGGCCCTGGTCCTCAACACACCTAACAACCCTTTGGGAAAGGTACCAGGGGCCCATTCAGAGACCTTGGCAAGCTGAGTTTCTCTCGTGATCTGGAGCATGAGCTCTCTCCAGCCTGGTACCTGTGTGAAGTGGGAGGGCTGAATGCCTTGAACTGTGAGAACCAACCCTCCCAGAGGTGTGAAGGCTTAGGAACATGGGCTAAGTGCCTCACTCCCAGGGAGCTTTGGAAGAGTGACTTTACAGTGGGATCCAGAGATAGCCAGTCCCACAGGGTCAGTATTACAGAGCTAGATGCAATACTGACCAATATTGCATTCCAATATTGCAAAGAGATATCCAGAGAAGGCCTAAGACCTAGAATGGTCTTGTACTTTGAACAGGCTCTGCACTTGGAGATAGTCCCAGTACACAGCTGTGACCTTGGCTCCAACAGGTGTTCTCTAAGATGGAGCTGGAGCTGGTGGCTGATCTGTGCCAGCAGCATGATGTCCTGTGCATCTCTGATGAGGTCTACCAGTGGCTGGTCTATGATGGGCACCAGCACGTCAGCATCGGTGAGCCGGGCCTGCCACAGCTTCCCCTGGACACCTGAGTAGGGCTTGAGCCCAAGCTCAGAGAAGCCTAGGCCTCAGGACCCAGGGCTGTGGAACTGTGCACTGTTGTGACCATGGGCAGGGACTTTCCCTCCCTGAGGTCTAAGGAGTGCAGTAGCATCTACTTCCCGTCAGGAGCAGGAAAAGGAATGGGTCCTGTCAGCAGCTAGGTGGATACCAGTCCTCAGTTAAGAGGCTGTGCTTGCCCCTGGGTCCCCTCCCTCTACCTTGTCCACTTTAGCATTTGCTCTTGTTGGCTTCCGGCAGCCAGCCTCCCTGACATGTGGGGACGGACCCTGACCATCGGAAGTGCAGGCAAAACCTTCAGTGCTACGGGCTGGAAGGTAAGTGTGACCACTTGGCAGGTGACAGCAGTGGGAGGATTGAGAAAAGCCTCCTCTGGCTCTGAGGACCCCACTGACTGTGTCCTGGTCTAGGTGGGCTGGGTTATGGGTCCAGATCACATCATGAAGCACCTGCGGACTGTGCACCAGAACTCTATCTTCCACTGCCCCACCCAGGCCCAGGTGAGGAGGGCAGGGTGCTCTATGGTCCAGAAAGGCGACAGAGAAAGCCCACAGACAGGTTATAACTGACCTGTCTGTCCATCTGTCCTGTCCAGGCCGCAGTAGCCCAGTGCTTTGAGCGGGAGCAGCAACACTTCGGACAACCCAGCAGCTACTTTTTGCAGCTCCCACAGGCCATGCAGTTAAACCGAGACCACATGATCCGTAGCCTGCAGTCTGTGGGCCTCAAGCCCTTAATCCCCCAGGGCGGCTACTTCCTCATTGTAGACATCTCAGACTTCAGTGAGTGGGACTAGCCATGTCACTCAAGATTTGAGGAGGTATCAAAGTTGGCTGGGACTCAGTATGACCTCTTCTGTTGCCCCAGAGAGCAAGATGCCTGACCTGCCTGGAGCTGTGGATGAGCCCTATGACAGACGCTTTGTCAAGTGGATGATCAAAAACAAGGTAGGCTGGGCCTCTTGCCAGGGCCAGTAGCTATAGTCGCACAGGCTGTGTGCTGTTCAAGAGTGTCAAGAACACCAGCCAAACCTTTTCCATGACTCGTGATACAAGGCTGACTGTGAAGCTCCTTTCTCACCTACACAGAGAAGCCATGCTGACTCCAGGAGAGCCTGGCCTTCTCTCCTATACAGTGAGACTATAGCTCATTTCCGCTCCTGCTCCTGCTCAGAGCTCTGAGGTTCAAATTTAGTTCTTCCCCAACTCTACCCCGGCATGCTGCACAGTCCCTTCTCTCTCTCTCTCTCTCTCTCTCTGCTCCCTGGAAGGAAGCTAGTGTGATGCCCTGGGGCTTCTCTCCTGACCATCACAGCAGATGAAGGGGACACACTGAGCCCTTCCTCTCTGTCCCTTGAGTTGATGTCTTAGGGCTTCTTCCTCCCCAGGGCCTGGTGGCCATCCCTGCCTCCATCTTCTTCAGTCAACCTCATCAGAAGGAATTTGACCACTACGTCCGATTTTGTTTTGTGAAGGTAAGAGAAGGCTGGGAGAACCTCGATGGGCCTGGTTAGCCACTGAGGAGGGCAAGAGAAGGCTCATTGTGTGTCTTGCAGGATGAGGCCACACTCCAGGCCATGGATGGGAGGCTGCAGAAGTGGAAAGGAGAGCCCCAGCCCTGAGGCCACCTTCAGCCCTGCCTCACACATGGAGGCCTCAGCTGTGCCTCATCATAGGGATGGCGATGGAGGGCCCAGCTGTATGACTGGGCATGTTTCCAGGAAAGAGGGCATTTATTTGGGGGTTTCAGCAATCTTTTCCCATAGTGTCTGCACAGCTGTCTTGTGTTGGGGTCCTGTTCTGGGCCTTACGCTACTCATCTGTGAGTTGTTGTGGCCCCACCGCCTGGAACAATAAAGGATAGATAACAGCCCAACCCCAGGCCTCCCTATCTTAGCCCTGTTGAGGCTCATTAGCTTCGCTAACTAACTCTTCTCCTGTGACCTCGGGTGTTGCTTCTGATTTGATTGCTTTTGTTCCTAATAAAGTTTTAAGTTATTGGAACCCTAAAGGCAGTTTTTCCCTTCCTTTGGACTGCCTGCTGGAGAGGGCTTGGAATAGTTAGAAGGGACCCCAGAACACCTGAAATCCTACAACCTTCCTTATGGAGTGAGACAGAGAGAACTGGAAACTTGGAACTCATCTAAAGTCACAGGGCTTGTTCATGGAACCCAGATTCAAACCCAAGCTGTCTGCTACGTTCCTCACCTTCAGAGGATGCAAGCTGCAGGCTGGGTTAGGGTTTTTGTGTGTGTGGACAGGAATGGGTCTTTAGAAACATCGTCACAGTTCAGGAACAGCCTAGTATGTGCACAGAAGTAGGAGGTGCATCTGCGATAAGCCTTACTGTTCCACACTTATGTGCAACTCCAACAGCCTGCTGAGAAGTGTGGGGAGGGCAGAGTTAGAGTAGCCTCCAGGCCAGAGTATGCTTGGCCATCCTGCCGCAAAAGTGGAAGTGAGGTTTGATTTGGGCAGGGGTTTTGGACAGGGCTGGAACTCAATGTGTAGACCAAGCTTCCTCAAACTTGTGATCCTTCTGCCTGTTTCTAGAGTACTGACATTACAGCATGCGCCACACCTGGCTTAGAAGTGGGATTTGATACCCACTTATGTGTTCCTTTAAAGCCACTTAGCCCCAAATCCCTACAGAAGGCTATGCTAGGAGCCAGATTCACATGTAGAGCAAACCAAGGAGTCACATTCATGTCTTTTCTTGACACTAGAGAAACAAACGATAGGCCGTAAGGTAGAAGACCTTTAAAAAACTGCCTACCCCAGGACAGAATTCCTAAAACATTAAGTTTTGTGAGAGATCAGAGTAATTTTTGTTAATCCTAAAAGCGCTTTTGGACCTGGGATTATTGGCAGAGTTTCAAGCCCACCCCTCCCCCACTTCTGTCCTCAGGGAATGGGGTAGGACTGGATTTTCAGCCCAATCACAAGGCCAGTGATATTTTTTCTATTTGGAGGTTTCCAGGGGAGGTCAGTGACACACTGTAGCCAATGTTAACTTCAAACTCATGGCAATTTCCTGTCTGTCTCCTGAGTATTAGGATTATAAACCTGAGCCATCAGTACTTGGTATCAGAAAACAAGGTAAGGTATGCTTCTCTCCTGCACAGTACTGCTCCTGATGTGGAGGGAGGATTGTAAATAAGACTCAACCTCAAGAGGTCAGGCTAAAGCTCCTTGCTGCACCACATGGCAGGACGATAAACTCTTGCATGGGGTTTTTTGAGACAGGGTCTCCCTGTGTAGCCATGAATGTCCCAGACTCACTTTGTAGACCAGGGTGGCTTCATACTCACAGAGATCCATCTGCCTCTGCCTCTCTGAGTGCTGGGATTACAGGTGTGCAACACCGTGCCTGGCTCCAGCTAGAATTCTTAATTCAAAGTACCTTAACAAAGGCCGAACCTGATGGCATACAGCCATTAGTTTACTCCTGAGGTAGAGTCAGGAGGATCAGAAATTCAAGGCCTGGCTCTGGTACCTTGTGAGTTCAAGGCCAACTCTGATACCTGAGACTTCGTCTCAATTAAAAAGATGACTACACAATCAGGAGGACCAGAGTTCAGATCCCAGCACAGATATTATAAGCTGGATGTTACATATATGCCTTTAACCCTGTAAGAGCTTCTTGGTGACTTCCAGCCTAGGCAGCAACCATGAGCCCCAGCCCAACAGTGGTGACACACACGTTTAATCACAATAGAAATGTGATTGTGAAGCTGGCTGTACGGTGCACACTTGGGTTTTTGATTGTTTCTCTATGTAGCTCTGGCTGTCCTGGAACTCACTATCTAGACCAGGCTGTTCTCGAACTCACAGAGAGTATCCTGCCTCTGGAGTGCTAGGATTAAAGGCGTGCACTTCTACATCCAGTTTGTGGTGCATACCTGTAATCCCAGCAGCACTCAGGAGGCTGAGGCAGGAGGATCCTGAGTGAGCTACACAGTGAGTCTCTGAGTCCATGCCTCCCCACCCTCCAAGAAGTTACTTGGGATGCTGGAGAGATTGCTCTGTGACTAAGAGAACTGACTGTTCTTCCAGAGGACCTGGGTTCAGTTCTCAGCACACACGTGGTAGCTTACAGTCTACTGTAACTTCAGTCCCAGGGGATCCAGTGTCCTCAGTTACTAAGCAAGACTGTGGTGCACAGACATACATGCAGAGAAAACACTCATACAAATAAAATAAGTAAAGTCAAAACCCAGAGAGCATGGTGCTGAACACCTGTAATTTCAGCACTTGGGAGGATGAGGCAGGAGGATGGACACTATCTCAACAAACAAAACCAAAGCAAGCAAAACAGACAAAAAGAAAGTATAACTCAAAAGAGAGAACACTAATAGAAACTATGTCTGGCTGAAAATAATCCCAGCACTTAGGAGGCAGAGGCAGGTGGGTCTCTGTGAGTTTGAGGCCAGCCCAGTCTACATATTGAGTTTCAGGACAGTCAAGGCTATGTATTAAGGCCCTATTTAAAAAACAACAAAAAGTTAATACAAAACTATCAGGAAGAAAAGTTGGGGGGGGGGGCGGGCGTCAACCTGTTGGTGTTCTGGAGACAATGCAGGAGATATTAGCCTTCTCAGCAGCAGGGGGATCCACCTTTCGAGGACTGAACTTGGAACCAATTTATTTGTTACACAAAAGGCACTTTTAGCAAGTTAATTTCTGTATACCAAAACCTGCTATGAATAGCTGTCTGAAGGAACCATTACCTAACCAATTCTCAGTCAGAGACTTCCTGATTTGCCTTTTATGCCCCGGGAATAAGTTAAACAAAAGCTCTGAGAAATCTTAGTAAGAACAACCCATAAAAGCTCAGATAACAATCACTGACTTACAAAGGCTACTTCCAAGCCTAGGTGCCATCTTTCTGGAATTCATGCCAGATACAATGGCTCTGCTAAAACTTTGCTACCTGGACCATTTTCAGCTCTACCTTCCCATTTTTGTCTTAATCTTAAAATTACTTTAAAGTGGGCAGAGAATGTTGGTCTGTGGTAAAGAGCTTGCATGCTGGAGACCTTAGATTTGATCCTTAGGACTGCCAAAATCAATCAGTCAATAAATCACAACACTCAGGAGGTTGATGGACAATGATCTGAGTTTGAGGTCAGTCCAGGCTACATAGTAAGACCCCGTCTCAAATATTTTTAAAAACTTAACCACACAAAAATAAATAAATTGATAAAGAAAAGAATACAGTCTGGGAAGGGTTGGGAATGTAGCTCACTAATGGAGCACTTAATTTAGCTTGGGTCAAACCCTTAATTGGATTCCTAGGAAAATGAATGAATGGATAAATTTAAAAAAAGAAAGTGCAAATGAACTAACTGAAGCACCCGATTAAACTACCTCTAAAGTAAATTCCAGCAGGGTCTCCTCACCTAAGACAAGGAATCTGAATATCGCCAGGGCGGCACATGGGCCTTACAGGGTTCGTGACAGCAGGGTGCTGCGAACTAGTTACGGAGAAGGTAACAGCCTTGCTGCCCGATCATCTGCAACTGGAGTTTTCCCGCGCTTCATCGCAGCCGGCCCCTAGGCCACACCCCGCGTGCCACTGGGTCTCTGATTGGGCAGATCCGCGAAGGTGTGGCCGGAAGAGGCGAGGCTGACTGGCAGGCGTGTGGTGTCCCGGGAAACATGGCGGAGAAGCCGAGGAAACGTCCGTGTGGCCCGGTAAGTGGCCGCAGGTGGGGTTCCGGGCCAAGCGGGGCAGACGCGGCGTCTCATAGTGGTGCTAGCCCCGGCCATTTGCTCCCTCCTTTCCGTTCTCCCGAAGCTTGAGTTCGCGAGGTTAGCTTGCCGGAGCTGCATTCCTCAGGGCGACGGTGCTCATGCACCCGAACACCCTCCTGGCTTATTTTCCGATTCCTAGGGCGACTTTGTGGACAGACAGATCTGTCCTCCCCTTTCCTCAGTTTCTTCTTTTTCCCATGGGAATTCACTCCTCAACTTCCAGGTGGCTCACGTTGCCGACCTGATCCAAAGCTTTAGGCACAGTAAGTCCTTGTATACTTCCTCCCTGCCTGGTTTGGAGATTCAGATGGCCGGAACCCAGCAGCGATGCTCTCCTGTGTGTGACCATTAAGCCTCTCAGTCTTCCTCCTACTCTTCCAGGGTGAACACGGCCAAAGGGTTGAATGGCGAAAATGGAAGCAGCAGAGTAAGTAAGGGCTGGGGCCGGGCTGGGCAAGAGTACTGACTGAGCCTTATCTTCTCACAGACCACCCCGCCAAACCCTCTGGGCCTCCGTGTATCCGAATGGAGCTGCCTTAGCAGCCTATCCAGGCAGGCCTAGTGAGAAGGAACTCTTCTCACTATGCCAACGCCCTCATTCCCCATCAATTCTTCTCCAGAGAAAGAGGAGAAGAAGAAGTGGAAGGACCTCAAGATAATGAAAAAACTAGAGAGGCAGCGTGCTCAGGAGGAACAGACTAAGCGCCAGGAGGAGGAGGCTGCTGCGCAGAAGAGCAACCTAGGTAAGCAACTGGGTCCTGGGAGGACACAGGTTGTGGCCTGCCGCCCCTCTCTCCCCCAACTCACCTGCCTTTCTTCCTTCGCTCTTCTTTTCCTCCTTTTTTCTTTGTTTTTACTGCCACCCTCCTTTTCCTTTTTTCTCCCCCTCCCTCTCTCTTACATCTCTCTTTTTTCTCTCCTTCCCTCTTACATCCCCCTTCCCCATTGTGAAAGCCTAAGTCAGTGAGTTCAGCATGGTACCCTAGGTCTGTAATTCTCTCACTCAGGAAGCTGATACATGAAAAGGGAAGAAAAAAACCTACCACAGGGTGATTTACACATGTTGTGTTTGTGTGTGCATGGATATATTTATTTGTTTCCAGCCTGGGTTGATTGAACCCACAGGTGTGGAACCTACAGGTAGATGGTAGAGTTGGTGCTTCCTGGAGCTTATATAGCATCAAATGCTTATTTTATTTTCACTGGTTTTTATCAGACTTATTTGTGTTTTTACGTATATGGGTGTTTTATGTGCATGTATGTCTGAAAACCAGAAGAAGGCATCAGATCCCATGGGACTGTAGTTCTAGAAGGTTATAAGCCAACAGGTGGGTGTTAGGAATTGCTTTTAGGACCTGTGAAAGAACAGCCATGTTTTTTTTTTTTTTTTTTTTAGCTCTTTTCATCCGCATTTGACAGCTGGTAAACTGAGGTATCTTAGCATTGAGCCAGGATATGGATGTAGGCCGGTGCTGCTAACCACTGCTTGGCCTTGCCCTCTGGGCTGTCTTACCTTGAGAAGCCTTAGTGGTTTCGGTCCATTTCCTGAAGAGACTGAAGCCAACAGAAGGAAGTTGGATCTAGCTTGCTGATCTCAAAATTCCTCCCAGTCAGACAGTTCTTTTACTCTGAGCCATGAGGACATGCAAGGTACATGAGCTCCACAGCCTGTCAGGCTGACTAAGGGACACTCCCTGCTCCTCTTAGGACGGCCTTACACTCTGAGTGTGGCCCTGCCAGGCTCCATCCTGGACAACGCACAGTCACCTGAGCTTCGCACCTACCTGGCTGGCCAGATTGCCAGAGCCTGCACCATCTTCTGTGTGGATGAGATTGTGGTGTTCGATGAGGAAGGCCAAGATACCAAGTGAGAGTCTTTGGGGAGAGGGGAGGGCCACCAGGGTTGGCTATGGCTATGGCAAGGCACCCCTTGCCACCTGCCTGGCTCTTTCAAAGTGCCCTGCCTAAAAAGCGCTTGAATCTTGAGCCTTGTCTCTGTCTTTACAGAACTGTGGAAGGGGAATTCAAGGGGGTTGGCAAGAAAGGGCAGGCGTGTGTGCAGCTGGCCCGCGTCCTGCAGTACCTGGAGTGTCCTCAGTAAGTGGGTCGTGAGGTGGGGTCACCTTGGATGTAGCTAGAAGGCAGCTTCCCCAGGAAGGTCCTGACAGCTGCGTTCTTCCCTAGGTACCTGAGAAAGGCGTTCTTCCCCAAACACCAGGATCTTCAGTTTGCAGGTATGGTTGTTTTGCCTTACCCATTTCCCGTGGCTCATTCATAGGCACTGAGAAGTCACCCAGCCCCACTTGTCCAGGTGGGAAAGCAGGCCTGGGAGTGGAAGCCTAGACCTGACATCACCCCCCTCCTCAGGGATCCTCAATCCCTTGGATAGTCCTCATCACATGCGTCAGGATGAGGACTCTGAGTTCCGAGAAGGTGTTGTGGTGGACCGGCCCACCAAGGCAGGCCATGGCTCTCTGGTCAACTGTGGCATGAAGAAGGTAGGAATGGGAACTGGGCTGTGGTATACTTTGAGGGCATTTGCTAGCTCTGGAAGGCAGGGAAGGGCATACGAATGAGGAGACCTGGACGCCAGGCCTGCAGTGAAGCACCACCTAATGCTAATTGGACAAGAGAAGTACCCAAAGTAAGGCCCAAGAGATAAAACAGAGGGGCTGAAGAGGTGGCCCAGAGGTTAAGAACACTGGCTGCTCATGCAGAGGGCCCATGTTGAGTTCCTAGAACCCACATGGTGGCTCACACACCGCCTGTCTTAACTCCAGTCCCAGGGTATCTAGTGCCCTCTTGTGGCCTCTGTGGGCCCAGAGCATGAACATGATGCACAGATATACATGCAGGCAAAATACCCACATGTAAAATAAAAGAGAGATGAAGGCAGTAGTGCTGTTTGATGATGATGATGATGATGATGATGATGATGATGATTAGTATTTGCTACTGAGATTTGATCATGCTCTCATTGAAGTATGTTCTCAGTTTTGCTGGTTTTGAGGTTAGGTGACTGAAGTTTTTCATTTTTAGGGTACTTGTGTGTATGGTTGTGTGGGTTTGTGAGTTGTGGTGGGGGGTGAAGCACAACTTTAATCCCAGCACTTTGGAGGCAGAGGCAGGAGGATCCCTGAGTTCAAGGCCAACCTGGTCTACAAAGTGAGTTACAGGACAGCCAGGGCTACACAGAGAAACCCTGACTCAAAAAACCAGAGAGAGAGAGAATGGAGAATGTGTGGGTAAGTATGCACATGCCAAGGGATGAAGGTGAGGTCAAAGGACGACTTGGCAAGTGTCAGCTCTCTCCTCCACTAAGCGTGGATTGAACTCAGGTCATCATGATTGGGGCAAGTGTCTTTACCTAGTAAGCCCCCTCACCAGCTCCAAGAGCAGCTCTTGTATAGAGTCTGCTATTCAACAGATGAGGATACTGAGGCTCACAGGGGTTAACTACCCTCCTCACACTCCTACCACATGCAGGAAGCTGTGACTTCATCTCTATGTAGATGCTGGCTCTCCACATCCTAAGCCCTAGGCTCCCATTTCTTACAATGCCCTGTGATAATTGTTCTGCATGAATGGTCCCTCTGAGCAGGTCCCACCCAGTGCCAGAAACAGGGTGGCAGGTTGACCTGGCACCAGAGTTTCTTCATGCTCTGCGAACACTGGCCCCTTTGAGGTGGGGCACTCACTTCCTCTAGCTTCCCTGCAGGAGGTGAAGATTGACAAGAAACTGGAACCCGGACTTCGGGTGACCGTGCGACTGAACCAGCAGCAGCTCCCAGGTATCTGGAGGCGTCCTTGGCCCTTAAAGTTGCCTGGCTCACAGCCTCCTCCCACCTCCCTGTCTCCTTGGCCTTCATAGCTTGCTTTATTCCCCAGAATGCAAGACATACAAGGGAACAGTCGTGTCATCGCAGGACCCCCGCACCAAAGCTGGCCTCTACTGGGGCTACACTGTTCGACTGGCCTCCTGTCTCAGTAAGAACAGAAGCTCCTCCCCTGAGTGTCAATCTGTCTCTTGTAAGACCCACAAGTCAGATCAGGGTCTCTGTCCTACCCAACAGTTTGTATGTTTAGGTGGGACCTTCCCTAGTCTTTGGCCTCATCTCTGGTACTCTGGTCTCCTGAGCATCCACGTGAATGCTAAGAACATCTAAGAACAGGATGTACTTGGCTTCCACATGCAGTCCCAGCACTAGGGAGGCCAGAGCAGGACTCTCACTGTCAATCGAGACCAGTTTAACTACGAAAGAGTTGAGACCTTGTCCTCTCAAGAGCAGGACCCCCTGAGCCTGCCCCATCCCCAGGTGCCGTGTTTGCTGAGGCTCCCTTCCAGGATGGGTACGACCTGACTATTGGGACATCAGAACGAGGCTCCAGCGTGGCCTCTGCCCAGCTGCCCAGCTTCAGGTGAATGTTGCTTAGGGCTGGGGACCTGAAGCTCTGGGGACAGCATCCAATGGAGCCTTGAAGTTAGTGACTCCCTTTCTCTGGGTACCAGGCATGCTCTTGTGGTGTTTGGGGGCCTCCAAGGGCTAGAAGCTGGAGTAGATGCTGACCCCAACCTTGAAGTGGCTGAACCCAGTGTCCTCTTCGACTTTTATGTCAACACGTGTCCTAGCCAGGGCAGCCGTACCATCCGCACTGAGGTGAGCCACCGCTACAGGCACCCAGCTCTCGCAGCCCACCCTAAGTGCTTTTTCTAAAGATCTACTTCTGTATTTTATGTTTATGGGTGTTTTGTCTACATGTCCTTCTGCATCAGAATAGGGCATCAGATCCTATGAGACTACAGGTATAGATAGTTATAAACCGCCATATGGATGCTGGGAGTTGAACTCAGGACCTCTGGAAAAGCAGCCAGTGCTCTTAACCATGGAGCCACCTCTCAGTCCCTGCCTACACAGCTTGCCTGAAGATGGGATCTTTACCACAGCAAACTAGTGGCAGAGACTGGATGTAAGAGCCATAGGGTTGTGGTCCTAGGCCATTTGTAGTCCTGTGATCCTAGGTTGAGGGACTCAAGTGGCCTACTTGACCCTGTTCAGGACCTTTGCTTTCCTGGTGATATGCTGTGTGAAGTATTCTACAAGGCCTGGGCATCCACTGGCTGTGTGGCACCGTCCCCGAGGTCAGCATGGGATCCTGTCCCTGTGGGTACTGCACGGGGGAGGCTCTGCTGCTCCATCGGCCTCAGAGGTGGCGACCATGCAAGTGGACAGCCCCAGTGTGCCAGTCCCTGAGGCCCTGCCCGCCATCTTACCCTTCCTGGCTTTTGAGGGAGGCCCCACATGGGGCTGTGAACACAGAGAAGAGCTGGGACAGCAGCCTGGCTACCAGGTCCCAACCAACTTCTTTTCTCCCAGGAAGCCATACTCATCTCCCTGGCTGCTCTGCAGCCTGGTCTCACCCAGGCGGGTTCCCAGACCACCTGACAGCGTTGTGCATCCAGGATGTAGAGGAAGCAGCAGGAAATGGAGGGTCACCGGGAAAAGCAATTGTCAAGACTTATCCAAAAATAACCACCTTTAATAGCCAGCCCCATCCCCCCGTTGTCTACAGCCCTTTACTGTCACTTGCTGCCAGCAGTGATGGCCTTGAGGTTTCCAGCTCTAGCCAGAATATTGGGCACAAAGAGCAATCCTGAGGCCCGCTCGATGCTCTCGATGGGCACCAGGAAGCGCTCCAAGGGAATAGTCTCATCCACAGGGGCATTGGGCATCACGTAGGAACGAAGCTCGATCTGCCCACTGGCGGCCTCCAGGATCAGCACCTTGAAGAAGTGTGTGGGCACTGCCACGTGGTTCTTCCCAATCACCTGGTACTTCACATAGGACTTCCCATCAGCCTCAGTCCTGTGGACAGATTCAGGCACATTCAGCCAGGAAGCCTGTTTAGATATGAGGCTTCCTCTTCCAGGAAGCCTTCCCTGATCTAAATTCCAACAAGAAGTTTGTGTGCTGTGCCTGGTTGCCTCTGTTGGGTCTGGGAACTGTCAGGCGGGACCAACACTTAGCCCTCTGCTTTTCTGCCCGATTCTGGTTCAGACAGAATGGGTGGCAATAAACGCTGCTAGAAGAACAAGTGCTGCAGACCTTAATGTTCACCCATGCATACACGTGACAACTTCCTGTCTCCACAGACAGTACACAAACAAGCCTGGGTGCCAGGACCAAGAAGTGGGAATGCCAGCCCAGGGCCTGGTGCTCAACAGGAGGCACCCTGAATGAATGTAGCTTCCAGTTTCCTCAGCAGCTGGCCTCTCCCAGCCAGTGCTGATCAAAGGCTCCAACGATGTTCAGAGGAGCTCAGCTCACTCGTCTGGCCAGAATGAGCGGAGGCTAGGTGAGAGCCCAGTGCAGCAACACAGGTTAGAGGGGTGGTAAGGCATGTCAAAGTGAGGGGGGGCAAAGGCAGATTTGGTACCTAGCACCTATGGGCTCAAGAGAGTTCTAGGCCACCCAAAGGCTATAGTGAAAAAGAGTCTAAGGTAGAGAACAGGAGTTGGGAGCCCTGTCAGCCACAGGCTTACCTGGGCAGGAAAAGAGGCCCCGTGCAGACATAGACATTTTGGTAAGTGCGAGTCAAACTGCGGGTGTACTTCTCAAGGCTGTTCCAGGCATTCTGGTTGAGGTGTGGCACCTGGGGAGAAGTGAGGCTCAGGACCTTCTTCCCGGCTCCCAAGGAAATGGCCAAGCATGCGGAGGACAAAGGCTCAAAGAAGGGTCATTCAGTGAGGCTCAGTCACTACAGGGGTTGAACCTTCCTAGGGCTGACCAGTGCTAGCCACACCCCATTTCTAGGCACGCGGAATCTCTAAGCTTTCCAGCTCAAAGAAAGGAGGGACGAAGCATCCAGAGACCCTAAGGTCCCAGACCTCGACAAGCTCTAAAAAAGGGAAAAGAGCTGGGGGATGGTGGCACTCCGACTTTAATCTCGGCAGAGGCAGGTGGATCTCTTGAGTTATCTCTGAGTTCGAGGCCAGCCTTGTGTACAGAACCGGTTACAGGACAGCTATAGCTACACGAAGAAACCCTGTGTGTGTGTTGGGGCGGGGGTAGAGTGGGGAAGAAGGGGCTCCTATCCATCTCCATCCCAGAACCTAAGTTCACACATCAAGATCCTGCTGGGGGCATGTGCAGTGTTAACAATGTATCCAGGGTGACGTGACTGGCACCAAAGAGCCAATTTCGTGCCAGCTGTCTTCCGGGCATCTGCTGCAGGCCAGCGAGAAGCCAGGGTGAGTAGGTGCCCTCTGGGTTCCCGCAGGAAGCACACTGGGTAGCTTCTTGACCGGAGTTACTGCAGGCAAAGGGAGGTGGGTATGCTGCTTCCCACAGGAGGCTGGACAGGAAGTTCAAACCCCGTCCGAATGCAGGGCCCCTCCCGCCACGGTGCCAGGGAAAGCCAGACCTAGGCGCTGCAGCAGGCAGCTGACCGGGGCCCGCGGCTACCTGGGGCGCCACGTTGCTCAGGTAGAAAGTGTCGTCCATGGCCCGCTGGCTCCAGCGGTGGTTGGCGGCAGCGGCCAGGTGGCCGCGGTCAAAGCCGCTGCCGCGGTAGTCCGCATTGGTGGCTCGGTGGTAAGCGTGCACAGAGTCGTCCTCGCGGAAGTCGCACGCCCGACGGTCGCCGTCGCCGCGGAGGCGCTCCGGACGCAGCTGTTCCAATACCCAGAGCGCACCGCGCGTGCGCGGGTCGTAGCTCAGCACGTAGGACTCGCGGCTGCGGAGCTGCGCCACGCCGGGCAGCCCGTACTTGGCCAGCTCCCCAGTGCCGCCCGCCGGTCCCCCCGGCAGCGCGGGCAGATCGGCCGCGACCGCCGGCAACACCGGCACTCGGCCCAGCAGCCCCGGCGCACCCCCCGCCCGCTGCCGCCAGTGCTCTGCCGCCGCGCCCAGCCCCGCGCCCAGCGCCAGGATCAGGCCGGTCCGCAGGGCACGCATGGCCTACGGGGGCACCAGCGCGGCCTGGACCACGCTAACGGTTCTCGCCAAAAGCGCAGGCTTCACCAGCCACCCAGCGCGCGTGTCACTACGTCCTTCATCTGCCCTTTTAAGACGCAGCCCGGGGCGTGGCGCCGCCCTACCCGCTTGCCATTGGTCACCGCCACGTCTGGGGCTCCGCCTCGCCTTGTGCGACTCGGTCTTTCCTAGGAAATCCAGTTGCTTGAACAGGACAGAACCCCAGGTCTGTCAGACCCTTCCTGTGCACCCATCATCGCGTAGCCAAATGAGCCAAGGATGCTTCTACATTGACCGGCAGACGGACGCAGGTGCAGGCTGTAGCTGCTGACAGCCGCCGGGAGCCAAAGCTTGCTAGAAAACAGCTTGAAAAGCCTACGTTACGTTTCAACCCGCTTAAAAGGCTGAGTCTGGAAAGCATCTTGTGTAGGCCAGTGTTTTCTGTTTATAGAAGCTGGCATACGCAAAGTACTCAACACTAAGGGCTCGCTAAGGATGCTTCCTGCACATCAGGTGGAACAGTATTTAGCCCATGAGTATTTTAAGACAGCGACTTCCCTACCATTTATTAAGATGGAGGAAAGAACTATACAAAAACTGTGAAGAAAATAGGGCCGAGAGTGTACTGTCAGAGTTACACTCGTTAGCGTGAAGCAAAAGCAATTGTGTATTAAGGACAAAAGGGTAATGGAAGTGATAAAAATACAGTGTACACACGTGGAAGCGTTATAATGGAACTCACTATTTGTGGGTATTTTATTTGAGACAGGTTTTCTCTGTGTAGCCCTGGCTGTTGTAGAACTCGATCTGTAGCCCAGGCTGACTTTGAACTTAAAGAGATCTGCCTGCCTCTGCCTCCTGAGTGCTGGGATTAAAGAAGTGTGCCACCACTGCCCATCGAAAAACATTGTTTAATGAAAAAGAAAAGAGGAGGAGGAGGAGAAGGATAAGAAGGAAAAGGGAGGAAGGAGGAGGAGAAGAAGAAAAAGACAAAGTTATGGGCTTGGAGAGATGGTTCAGAAGTTCAGAGCACGTACTGCTTTTACAATGGAACCAGGTTCAGTTCTCAGCACCTACATGATGGCTCACAATCATCTAAAGGAGCTGATGCCCTCTTCTGGCCTCACACACACACCAAACATACATAGTCCACAGACATATATGTCCACAGGCAAAACACTTACACAGACTACATAATTTTGTGGGTTTTTTTTTTCCAAAGATGTATTTATTATGTAGTGTTCTGCCTGCATGTACACCTGCAGGCCAGAAGAGGGCACCAGATGGTTGTGAGCTACCATGTAGTTGCTGGGAATCGAACTCAGGACCTTTGGAAGAGCAGCCAGTGCTTCTTACCCTCTGAGCCCCATAATTTTGTTTCTTAAAGATCACATATACTGCCTTTGCAGAGAACCCAAGTTCAGTTACAGGCAGCTCACAACCTCCCACAACTTCAGTTCTAGGGGACCTGGTGCCTTCCAGACTGCACAGTCTCAGATGAGGGATTCAGGTCATCGGAGTTCGGAGGATCGGAGTTTGAGGCCAGCCTGGTGTACAGAGCGAGTTCAGAGCTACACAGTGAGACCTAAAACAACAACACACACAGATGCAGCAGCTCACATCTGTACTTCTGGCACTCCTAAGCTGAGATTTGAGGCAAGGCAGGAGCTAACATCAGGTGCACATCACCGTGGATGGAACAAGAGACTCTGCCTCAAAACAAAGTGGAGGAGTGGACTGATCCCTGAGTTCTTAACATATCTGTATACCTGTGCCTGGCCTGGCACAGGTGCACAGGGGAAGAGGTAGGGGAAGAGTTAAGGTTAGGGATCTCTATGAGTTCGAGCCCAGCCTGGTCTACAGACAGTTCTGAGACAGCCAGGGCTACACAGAGAAATCTGTCTCAAAACCAAACCAAGCCGGTTGTGGTAGCGCATGCCTTTGATCCCAGTACTCAGGAGGCAGAGGCAGGCAGATCTCTGTGACTTCAAGGCCAGCCTGGTCTACAAATTAGTCCAGGACAGCCAGGACTATTACACAGAAAAATCCTGTCTCAAAACAAACAACCCAATAAGGACAAAACCTTAAAAAACAAAAACAAAACAAAACAACAACAAAAACAATTGCAGGATGTATGCCTGTTTTTTTTTGGGTTTCCTGACCTCTGAGTTCACATCAAGTATTTCCCTGAGCATCAAGCTGTTTGATTACCATAAACTAGATTTTAAAGTATGGTGGCCTCCAGCTTTGTCCTTTTTGCTTGAGACTGTTGGGTTCCTGGGACCTTTATGGTTCCCTAACACGTTTTCAGATTTTTTTCTGTGAAAAATTACATTGGAATTGTGTGTGCACTCGCTTGTGTTAGGAACCTGACCCATAACCTCAGGCAGGCTAAGCAAGTACTTTGCCAATGAGCTGCACCTCCATGGCCTACAATTATGTTTCAGCAAGCCTCACTGTGTAGGCCCGGGAAGACTGGAACTACAGACTCCAGGCTGGGCTCCGCTTTGGAAAGACTCTCATGGGCGCTGGAATTCTGATAGGGACTCCGTTCACTCTCTGACACTTAGCAGCTCTTCCAGCCTGGAAATGCAGACTGCCCCTTGTTCTTTGTTCCTTCCAAGCCTTTACAATGTTCATCACTCTTGGGACTGTGGTTTGGCCCAGTGGTCCAGCACAGGCTCAATGTGAGGGCCTGGGCTCTTGAACCAGCACAAAATTCCTCAGTACTTTAATTTCTTCTAGGTATTGTAAGTGGCAGTTTATTATTTTTCAGAGTTTACAGTTAGCTATAGAAATACTCGTGATTTTCAGCCAGCTGTGCTGGTACAAACCTTTAATCCCAACACTCAGGAGGCAGAGGCCCTAGCCGCAGAGGCTAGAACAGGATGAACGAAGAGTTTGAGGCTAGCCTGGACTACACAGCAAAACTCTTGGACAGTGCACTGCCAGAAGCAGTGAGGCTGCTCAGGGGGAAAGGTGCTCAGCACCAATCCTGATGACCTTGTTTGATTTCTGGGGCCGCGTGATAGGAGGGAACTGACTGCAGCAAGACTCCTTCACCCACAGGCCGCATGCAAATAAATACCTTTTTAAAAATTACTAATAATGTGGTATGTAGAGGCATAGGCCTCCTTCCTAAGCCCATCCCCTGCTGACTGTGGCAGAGGAGTTGGAAGAGCCTCTTGGCAAGCATTTCCTGGTCTTGTTTAGACCAGTATAAGGGACTTTGGCTCTGTCCTTGCTCCATCGTTCTTCTTTCCCCTGAAGGCTCAGGTCCACACCACAGCACCAGTCCACACGGTAAAGAGCACACGGTTTATTAAAGACAACTGGTCAACAACGCTGGCCTACTGAGCTCCTGGGTGCTGTTCCCAAGTGAGCTGCAGGCACCTCAGGCTCTGGTTCCCCCTCAAGACTCACCCAGAGCAGATCCTTCTCTCAGGCAGCACCCAAATGGGGAGCCACCCTACCCAAGACAAAGTCCCCGTGACCTTGGCCTTCATCTCAAGGACCAAGTAGTGGGCACAGGATGCAGGTCTCCCATAGAAACAAATCAGATGCAGTGATTCCAGTAGCATGGTCCCAGGAAGGGAGGGAGGGAGGGAGGGAAGGAAGGGGAGAGGGAAGGAGGGTAATAAAAAGGGAGGGGGAGAGAGGGAGGGAAGAGGGGAGGGAGGGAGAACAGGAAAGAGGGAATGCATCAGTGTCCTGGGCAGTGTCTGCTGGGTCCCAGGCGACGAAGGGATCAGTGGTGGGGCTGAACTACCAGCTAACAAGTCGTAGGTTAAGGGGCGACCAGGATGGTAGGAGTGTATGTAGCCTGTGTCTTAGAGTATGGCAAAGGCACCAGCTCTGGCCTCCATTATACTCAGTCTCGTGTGGAGCTGGCAGCCTCCTGGCCAGGAACAAGGGAGAGGATGCCAGGGTTGACCCTGGGAAATAGGACAACCCAAGCTTCCAACTCCTCTATCATCCCAGCCACTTCCACCCACCCACAGTCCCACATCACTTGCCCATCTGCAATAAATAGCTAGCCCATTTCTAAATAAATAGTAAAAAATCTCCCAAATGTTGTGGGTTGGGAGAAAATGTAGCAAAAAAAAAAAAAGTAGAGTCCCAGCAGCACCCAACCCAAACTTGCTAAAACAACAGCATGGGAAGGCGGGAAGCCCCGCCCACTGGTCTCAGGAAGGCTTCAGGTGGCAGCTGCTGGAGGCCTGGCTCCAGCTGGCCAGTCTGAGAGGTTGAGTTGAGAACCGTTGCTGTCAACCTGCCTTTGGGACTACCTAACCTCCTCATGAAAGGAGGAAAGGGGTATGGTCAGAGAAGTCTACCTGCTGAACAGGGTGCAGCTCAGGGCACCCAGCTCTGGAGCCAGGAGCCAGCCCAGACACATGGCCAGCACCTCCGTATCCCCATGGGAGTGGAGGACAGCTGTAGCCCTCCTGATACTGGGAGGCTCCAGGCCTTCGAGTTTAGCCAATCCTGGACCCAGAGAGGCATCCTTTGGTCCCTTGCCAAGACTTGCATACTTCAGGTGGGAACATGGAAGCCAAGGGGACAACCGCTCTACTGAAATGTGTGGAATCTAACTCCCAGGCATATCACAGCCAGGCTGTCCTGATCTCTGAGATGAGTGAGGCTTCAGAGAGCCTCTGAAAAGACTCTCCCCTCCCCACTTCCTCCATTCTTGGGCAAAAAAATGGGCAAGAGGCTCAAAGCTTCACAGGCCACCATCGTCAGCAGCACTTGGTTTCCATGACCAGAGCAGGGTCAGGGCCCTCTGACTATCGGACCTGAAAGCCTCAGGCTGGGGATGGGAAAAGGGTGTCCAAGCCAAGGCTGGCCTCCAGGGGTCTTACTAAGCCACACTCCTCATTCTGACTGCTGGCTTCAAGGAGCAGAGGGAAGGAAAGAGTGAAGAGGTTCAGGGTAAGGTGACCCAAGAGAAGGGTAAAGAGAATTGGAGAGAAGAAGAAACAGCAGGAGTCACACAAACCTCTGGCAAAGGAAGAGAGAGACAGGCAGAGGTAGAGACGCAGAGAAGGGGAAGCAGGGCCTTAGAGGGATTCCAACATACCCTTACTCCACTTCCAGGGCATGTGTGGACACACATGTACATCCGCACACAAGCAGAGACACCTGGGAGACACCCCTACCAGACATGAGCAAACACATCTGGCAAGAAAGACAGAAGGTGGACCTAGAACTGGCGGTCACTTAGCTCTCCTGGGGTCACTTCCTCAAGTAGCTTGAGCACCAACACTCAGACATGGTTTCTGGCCCATTAGCCAATTACCTCCCCTGACCAGGACCCAGAGGAAGATGAAAGCACAAAGGATGAGGAGCTATTGGGCAGAGGCATGGCAGGACCCTTGCCAGCCTCCTATGCCCCAAATAGCCGCAGCCCCAGGAAACCATTTCAGGAGCTCCAGCCCTACATAGCAGTCTGGGTAGAGGGTCCCAGGGCTGAAGTGCAGGGGGAGTGGCAGGGCGCAGCACTGAGAAGCACACAACACAGTGTGTTCCAGGAGGAGCAGTCTGGACCGTGGGAACCAGGTTGGGAAGCCCTGGAGCTGGCCAAGACTGCAGCTTGCCCTCAGGCTGGCTTTCTCACTGTCTCCTTTGTGTCCCAGGGTGCAGAGTGCACATGGCCACTCTTCCCAACCTGGGCCTCTTGCTATCAGGTTACTTCGAGTCTTGGAGTTCCTTGGCTTTCTGTAGGATCCGGCAGACATCTGTGCTGGGGTAATCCTGGACACCGGGAAAACCAAAATATGCTCCTGGAACAGCTTCAATTTTGCTCTGCTAGCCACATACACTACCTTCCCACAGAGGCCTGTCATCATGGTGTGGTGCCAGGGACAGGGCCCGTGGCGTACCTGACACCAGAGATCCCACCGCAAATACTGAGTGTCATTTTGGTCACCCCTCCCAAGGCCCAAAGGGCCTACAGCCTGTATGAAAACCAGGGCGCCTAAAGGCTTCAGACCTCCACCTCCTGACAGGGAGCCTGAGCCACACCCATGAAGAGCACAGTGACAGTTCAGGAAGTGGAGCCCTTAGTCTTCCAGTCCCCGCAGGAGCCCCGAGAAGGGGTACACAGCCATGTTACAGACCTAGCTAGTGAGGCTACTGAAAATCAACCCTAGGCCAGGGGCTGGTGAAGACACTGTGGCCTAGAGACAAGGTCACTTGGCTCGAGTCACATGACAAGCAGAACTGAACAGACATGAACCTCAGGCTGCCTGTCAGACCCACCTGACATACATCTCCCTGGCCTGAGAAAAATCAGCAGCATCCACTGCCTTGACCTTTTTTGGACCAGAGTCCAGGAGGCCTGAGAACACACACCACTCGAGATCTATGAAGACCGAATTCAACTCAGATCCAAACCAGATGTGCTCCAGAGGTCTGGGCTCCTGTTTCTGACCCCAGCTGTGTCTGGTGCAGGGTGGGTGTGGGAAGTAGCTGCCCAGTGGCCGAGACTGCCTCCCTTCCAACAACCATTACCTGCAGAAGCCTCATGTTGATGGTGAAATCCCCCTGCAGCAGCTGCTCCCGGATCAGTCTGCAGGGAAACAGAGCCACAGCGCTGGGCCCTGGATGCCCCAGCAGGCCACAGCCCGCTGCTTATTCCTTCTCCCTCAGCAAGTCCCACTTGGAGGTCAAGGTTTCAGAGGCTCACCCTAGCCACGAGAGGCCAGGCCCTGCTCACCTTTCAGGACTGGGTACCCCTTCCCCCAGCTTCCCGTAAGGACAGGACAGATCATGGCCCCACTCACATAAGCATGGCACAGCAGACCAGGAGGAGGAAGTCAAAGCGGTTGTCATCCGCGAAGAGGGAGTCCCAGATCCGGATGACATCGGGCAGCAAGAACTCCTGCGACAGCAGCAGCGTCAGCCATCGGAAGGCAAAGAACTGGGGCTTGATATTCTGCTCTTGCTGGGGAGACCGCAGGGAGCAGGTGTCAGTTGCAGAAACAAAGTGTGGCCTAAGAGCAAGCCCTGTTCAGGGCCCTCAAAGGCCATACAGAGCCAGCGTCCACGAAGGGGGCAGCGGCTACTAGCTCCAGCCAATGTGGCCATACCTTGTGATTTCTTCAAGACACGCTAGAAACCCTGAATTTTGCATTAGCCCTTTAGATTTGGAAATGGCTCAGCCCACCCACATCCTCCTCTTGGATTTGTGGACCAGCACCAGGCACTGCCCCTGTGCTCAGCTTACATCCCCCATGAGATAGCCCCACAGAGCACGGGTCCCTGGAGTGGAAGTGTCTTTTAAACTCAGTTGTGCTATGTAAACATGTTTTTGTTTTAGTCCCAGGTATGGGATATGAGACTGATTCAGATGTTCCACAACAGCAAACTATTTGCTTCGGGTGGGCTCTGAGAGGCGCTTTTTGCCAGCTACAGACAAGGAATAAATGCCAGAGCCCAGAGAGCATGGTGGGGGGTGATTGGAGAAAGAAGGCAGCTGCTGGTGCTTCCCCCTGCAGCTCCTGGTTGCTGTTGATGCAGTCTGACGAGAAGAAGTTGGAGATATTCTGAAACGAAGACTGGATTTGCCCCACGGAACCCAAAGACCCTAACCAGCAGGAAGTAGTCTAAGAAGAACTATGCCCTCTCTCCCCACAAACTTTAGTCTCCTACCTGGTGTTGGGGTGTTGAAGGGGATTGGGGTATGCAAGGCAAGAAGAAATATAAGAAACCTCAATAAATTAGATTTTGAAAAGTACAACAGCAGGGGCTGGGGAGACGGCCCAGCAGTTAAGAGCATTGTCTGCTCTTCCACAGGTTCTGCATCTGTTTCCCAGCAACCACATGGTGGCTCGCAACTACTTATACTAGGATCTGACGCCCTCTTCCGGCAAGCAGGTGTATGTGCAGATAGAGCACTCATGTATGTATTTAAAAAAAAAGGGCACCAACAAACCCCCTGGAGAGGAACACTTTGGTGAGTCACAGAAGGTATTAAAAGGCATCTTTACCTGCTTGGCTACCTTACTGCCACCATTCTTTTCTTTTTTTTCAAGACAGGGTTTCTCTGTATAGCCTTGGCTGTCCTGGAACTTGCTCTGTAGACCAGGTTGGCCTCAGTACTCAGAGATCCACCTGCCTCTGCCTCTCAAGTGCTGGGATTAAACGTGTATGCTCCCAAGGCCCGGCTTTGTTTTGTTTTTTTTTTTTTTTTGAGACAAGGTCTCTCTAGGTATACCTGGCTGGCTAGGATTAAAGCATGCACCAACATGTTCAGCCTATCCAATGTTGCTTAACTACAGCCACTTTCAGCCCCACAGAGAAGGCAGAAGTGGCTCTGTCCCCATGAATCCTGTGTGTTCTGTCAGTGAGTTCTGCCTGTATGTTAGGTCCTCACCAGTTTCAGGTAGAGTTCTACATCCTTATCCTTCAAGGTGGAGTACACCTTTTCCATCTTGTAGGTGATGCCGCACTGGGAGTCATCCAGGCTCTTGATGAAGTTGTCCCGGATCTCGGCCATGAGGTTGGTGAAGCAAAAAAAGGTATCTGCTTCGGCGTGCTCTGGGACAGACGGGGTGGGGGGCAGACACAAGGAAATGTTCGTGAGTCCTGCCTCACCTCTCACCCAGAACATGTGACCCACTTCTGAGTGTCACCAAACTTCCCTGGAGGCTGGAATGGGTCCCTTGCCATGGCCAGTGTCCACCCCTAATGGTATCAGCACATCTACCTCACCTAAGCACACGGGGCACTCAGCCGTCTGTCTAGTACTGTGCTAATGGACCACATCTTTCAGCTTCTCGTGACAACTATTCTACCAGAAGTTACAGGCATCAACAGATCAGTGAAGAGCACCACTCTAGAAGGCAGAGCTGGAATGGAAAGGGTCTTAAACAGAGTCCAGCTGGCACCTGCTCTGACATGGGTGTAGATGTCTGAAAGTGGAAGAGGCTTTGGAGCCCCATGTGGCCCATCAGTCTGGCCAGCCCCATTCTTTCTAGGGAGCCAGCAATGGGAAAGCTAAGAGCCTTATCTACCTTTCCACTCGCTGTTGGGGTCAGTGGCAAAGGTGTAGTAGAGGGGGCCCACGATCTCATTCATGCCCTGCACATAAGCGATGCCAGGGTTGAGCTTGGCATAGATGAACAGGATCCGCTCCACCACCTCCCAGTGGGCTTCACAGCCATTGGGCAGAACCTCATACTCATTCAGGGCTGGCGGTGTGCTGTTCCTGTGCGGGGAGCTCATCTGGGGAAAAGAGGAGAGGCTGTTAGCAGGACAAATGTTCCTATGAAGCCCAGCTTGACTTAACAATCCAGCTTATGGGCAAAAACAGTGCATGAAGAACAAGTCAGGCTCAAGGAAGAGGCAGGCTGATGGAGTAAGAAGACATTTCAAGTGCCAACTATGCTAAAAAAAAAAAGTCTCAAAACAGGCATGATGGCATACAACTCCTTTTATCCCAGTACTTGAGAGGCAGAGGCAGAAAGATCTCTGTGAGTTTGCGGCCAGCCAAAGCTACATGGTGAGACCCTGTTCTTCCAAAGGTCCTGAGTTCAATTCCCAGCAACCACATGGTGGATCATAACCATCTATAGTAAGATCTGGTGTGCAGGCAGAATGTTGTATAAATAGTAAACAAATCTTAAAAAAAAAAAAAAAAAAAAAAACACCAAAACAACCCAACCAAACAGAGGTCACACCAGGTGTGGTGGCACACACCTTTAATCTCAGCACTGAGGAGGCAGGCAGTTTGAGGCCAACATGGTCTACAAAGTGAGTTCAGTGACAGCCAGAGCTATACTACAGAGAAACCCTGTCTGGAGGCAGGGTAGGGATGGAACAGATTTTACTTCTGAGATAAGGAAATGATGGGAAAAGGGAAAGAAGGAACTTCCTGGATATCGAGAAATCTTAATCTTGTCTGGTGTACCTATAAGAAAACAAAGCTACCTATACACAAAAATGGCTTTGTTTTTTTTTTGTTGTTGTTGTTTTTACTTCAATTGAAAATAAAGACTTGACTGCATGTGGTGGTGTAGACCTATAAATTTTAACACTTGGAGGTAGAAGCAGGAGAATCAGGAGTTCAAGGCCAGCCTCAGCTATATAGAGTTCTAGACCAATCTGTACTATATAAAACCAGCTCAAAACGAGAAAAGGAATGCAGAAGAGCTTCTCTGCATACCCTCAGGAAATTCAGGGGCATTTGGTGCCTTGGCTCTGCCCTTGGCCTGCTCCAGCAGTGACTGCAGAGCTGGGGAGCTTGCAGGTGAGACCCTGGCAGAGACTGTAAGAGGCTGTCTTGGAGTACAGGGAGTCTGGGCTATCTCCACATACCTGTCATACATGTATATGATAAAAAAACACATGCATGTCAGGAGCAAACCATACTCCCAACTAATCCTACACTCTTCTTCAAAGCCATTTTCTTTTTTCAAGAGAGTCTCACACAGCCCAGGCTGGCCCTCAAACTGAGCATATAACTGAGGAAAGCCTTGAGGTGATTACAGGCTTTGAGCCATGACATCACCTTTGAACATACCCAGTTTGGAAACTGAGGCTCACATAGACTTGAACCTGGCTCTGGCTAGCTCAGAGCCTGTGGGCCAAGCCGCTGGGGCAGGCTGTCTCCCAGGAAGGCCCTGTGCGCCCAGCTTTCCAAGAACCTGCTTTCCATGACTTCCTTTCCTCCTGCAATTCCAAAGAAGCAACCATGCCCAGATTATGGAGGAGGAAAAAGCCCAGAGAGATGAGCTCATATCCCTGAGTCACACAGAAGACTGACTTAATTTAAAGCACCCTGCCACAGGTCTGGAGTCCTAGGAATGAAGTTCTGGGTGGAGGCTGGACTGCCAGGACCAGATCCAAAGAGAAAATGGGTACAGCTTGGCTCTCATATACAATACTACAGTGAAAGGTTGAGTAAGGCTGGGCCTTCATCCAGATAATCAGCATCCATGCAAGAGGAATGCACACAAATTGAGCCACGGCTCCTTCTCCAAGCCTGTGCTCTGCACAGGACCCTCACCCTGTGGCAGATACATCGGACCAGAAGTGACTGTCCCATCAGCATCTAGTCAGCAACTCAGGAAAAAAAAAAAAAATATCTGTGCAGTCCTCCATGCCCTGCCGGGGAGGCTTCAGAGCAGGGCCTTCATGCTGAAGAAAGCCAGTGACATGTGGGAACAAGTCGCCACACCACAAGTCCCAAAGCAGGGGTCTACGTGGAGGGACAGGTCATACACCTTTTTGGCTGTAGCAGCTTTCACAAGTGGCAGGGTCTGCTAGAGCCTGGAGCTCAATAACCCTTGGCGCTTACCCAGCACAGCCCCACTTCTGTGTGTCCCAGATCTGCTCCTGCTCTAACCCAACAGCAACCTCTGGCCTAGACAAATGCAGTCATCTGTTTGATATCCTTTTCATGCATGAGGTCACCTGAACCAAAAGCTGCTGCACTGATCACAATACCCCAAGTGCCTACCAACCCTCTGAACAAAGGCCCTGTCTGACTCTTTGGTATCTTCCAGCACCTCCCCTCTACCGTCTCACTGCTTTAGACACAGAGGCCCTCATTTTTTCCCGACACAAATGATAAATTAAGCTTTTGGTGTGAGATAGAGAGCCGAGCAGCCAAGCAGCGAAGGAGATGCAAGTGGCTATAGGTCCCCACAGGCAGTCCCAGCCCAGACACTTTGACCGTGTAAGACAGGCTTTGTTGTCATAGTTGTGCTGTGGGCATGGCGGCCAGGGCGCTGCTCTTAACCTTCTCCAGCGTCAGGATTGGAATGCAGGGCTGGGAGCTGACAGGTGCCATTGGGAAACCCATGAAGCAGAGCGGTGGCACCTTTGGCACATTCATGGCCATGAGAATGAGTACAGGATGCTAATCAGGCAGTGATTGCCTGCTACATCTATATTTTCCCATCCATTTCAACCCTTTTACACTAATAATTTTTGTTTGTTTGTTTTTCAAGACAGGGTTTCTCTATGTAGTCCAGGCTATCCTGGAAATCTCTCTATATAGACCGGGCTGGCCTTGAACTCAGAAATCTGTCTGCCTCTGCCTCCTCAATGCTGAAACTAAAGGTGTGCGCTGGCACAGCCAATCATTTTATTTATTTATTTTTACAGTTTTTTTCTTCTTTAAAAAAATACTTCTATAGTAAATAAGTATCTACAGTCAAAACAAATCCAAGACCAGACACCAGCCCTAGGGCTCAGAAACAGCTGGTGACTTCCTGCAGGGTGCTCAGGAAGACATGGTTACACATGTATAACACACATGGCAGTGGCTAGTGGCTTCATGAGCTGTACAGCGGGTTACAGGGACATACACTGCATGGCCTGTGGGGGAGGAGGGCCAGTGGCTTCATGAGCTGTACAGCGGGTTACAGGGACACACACTGCATGGCCTGTGGGGGAGGAGGCCAGCAGTTACTGGGGGGGTCAGAAGGGTTCTTGTCTTCTGTGGCAGAGCCACTGGCCGCACCCCACTACTCGGCGCTCTCTCCTATCTGAGGACTTTGGCACAAAACTTGGAACAGTATTTCTCCTGTATTCCCACCCTGCTGTATGGGTCAGCTGACACCTCCAACACCCAGGCGGCTAGAGACTGCACTGCTGCTCTCAGCACACTGAGACTTCCCAGAACCAGCTCCATTTCTCCTCGAGCAGTAGAGCCTGAGCATGAGGACAGTGCCTCACCCTGCAGCTGGTATGCCCTGCTAAAGCAACAGCAAAAAGGCCTCTGCCAGCAACCTTCAGAAAGTACCTACAGCCCTATGGCCAGTGGGCCAGAAGTGACACTGGGGACAGGCTGTTGAGAAAAGCCCCATGGGCTGGAGAGATGGTTCAGATGTTAAGAGCACTGTCTGCTCTTCAGAGGTCCTGAGTTCAATTCCCAGCAACCACATGGTGGCTCACAACCACATATAATGTGATCTGATGCTCTCATCTGTTATGTAGGCATACACGCAGATAGAGCACTTATATACATAATTAAATAAATCTTAAAGAAAAAGAGAGACAGAGAGAGAGGCAGGCCAGGCGGTGGTGGCACACAACTATAATCCCAACACTTGAGAGGTGGAGGCGGGTGGGTATTTGTGAGTTTGAGACCAGCCTGGTCTACAGAGTGAATTCCAGAACAGACAAGGCTACACAGAGAAACCCTGTCTCAAAAAAAAAAACTTAAATAAATAGAGGAAAGAAAGAAAAGACCCTAGGGAGCTGGAGAGATGGCTTAGCACTTCAGATTACTTGTTCTTGTAAAGGACCAGAGTTCGATTCCCAGCACTCACAACTATTCATGACTCCAGTTCCAGAGGATCCAATGTCTTTTTTTGACCTCCATAGGCACCAGACACTTCAGTGGAACACATGTGAGCGTGCGCGCACATACACACACACACACACACACACACACACACACACACACACACACACA